AAAGAAGAAATAAATCAATGAGGGGCTAATAATTCAGACTTCAACTGTGTGTAGACAGACAGACAGACAGACAGACAGACAGACAGATCATAACAAGAACTGCTGCTTAATTGAATGCATGTAATAGCGACACCCGGTGGTTATTTATTGAATTACGTTCATTTTTGTATAGCGGGCCAGATTCTATTGATATTTATAAAAAGCCTCGCGGGCCGTAGTTTGGACACGCCTGGTGTACTGGAATGTACAGTATCTGTGCATCTTGATGGTGGTCTTAAGATTTCTGCCATAGTCATTGATGGTGATGGTACTTGTGGTGCTGCATTGATTTCTGAAATCTTCATACCTGCCTTTTATCCAGCCTCTTTGTTCCAAATAATTTTTCTTCATCATGGTATAGATGTGTCTATACTGTCCCTTAATCAGATACATTTACAAAACAAAACATCACTTTAGTATAGTGCCAGGGCAAAACTCACAGGTTGTAATAGATCAATGACATAATGTTGACAGTATGTGTTTAAAATAATTGCAAACAAACCTGTTCTGTCTTTAGATGTATGACAGGCGATCATCATCCTCATCTGTCTACCAGTCAGAAATCACAGTTGCGTGTGGATGTTTGAGTCGAGCTTCCTCATATGCATCTATAATAAAACATCACATTGTTGTTAACCTCCCGTAAAGAAAAGTTCAAATCCTGAAATACTATCAAAGTTAATTAATGCATATAATACCTATAGTGTAAATAATCAGCACACTGAAGGTTGCACAAGATTTATTCGGAGAGTCATGCAGAGGGACAGCCTTATGAATCTGAGACATAGATTTGTAAGATTGTCAAGCACATGCATTATTCTGTACCCATGAAGATTAACCTACCATTGTGAAAAATGTTTGATGATAGCCAATAACAATAAACCATTTCAGCTGTTTGTGAAGCAATTAGTAATGTAACGTCTGAAAAGCTCAATCTATGTTGAAAATGTATCAGCAGTTTACAGCTTATAATGGACTTTTAGCACACAACTATAACATGCCTATTCACGTTCAAAAGAGTGTGCTATTGACTTCTATGGTCGTGATGTGCTGCAAAATGATCTCACTAACCTTTGTTAAACAAGAACAATAAGACTTAACCAACAAATATTGTTACCCATTCATTTAAATCAGAATTTATCACTGTCAATAACATAAAAAAACATCAAAATCTGCTTTAAGACGTTCAGTTTTACATTAACTGACCATTACAGCTTGAACAAAAGATATAATTGATTCACATAGGCTAAAAAATACGAATTAAAGTGCATAGTAATATATTTCTCTTGGATAATTTAAAGAGAATAGTAAACAGTCGAGTTTCGATCATTTTTTGTGACTAACTGCATAAACAAGATAAACAATATTTTATTAATCCAAAACGATTAGTTTTTATTTACACATAATCACAGAATTAATACTGTTGGATAAGTATACGCCTGTACAATGATTTTTTCAACATCCACGGTACTTAATAATGTTAAATCAGGAAAAAACACGTTTTGCCAAGTTAGTTAATGGATTCGTCTACAGAAACTTTCTTTAACGCAAAGTTAGCATACACACAAACTCGTTTCATGTTTCTTTAAAATAATTAAAATAGTTTTCAGTTACTACACACGTTACAATCTAACATTGTGTAAAAGGAAAAGGAACTTTCAGACGTGTTTGTAACTGTTAGCGTTAGCATACATTAGCTCCAGTCGTGTTTCTTAAAGCAAGTTACATTTCGTATCAAACTGTTTTAAAGTACTAAACGCTGTTACAACCAAACACCGTGGAAATGTTTTAAGCTCTAAATTCGCTAATTATACAGTACACAAGCAGTAAAAAGCTTACCTTTCTGACCGGAATCCACGTGAGTCTTTGAAAAACCAAACTTTTTCTTCTTGTGATCTTCGTGCCATGGTGGTTGACAACCAGCTTTTTGGAGCATTACCGCCACCGTCTGGATTGGAGTTTGGATCAGGAATTTAGTAACGCATGTGTTTATTATGAAACCAACTTCTGCTTAAAAAAAAACAGTCAGCACAGGAGCGTGCTATCTCAAAAATAAGCAAATTTTACATAGTTTTTCTCTAGATGACATGTATAATCTATTTATAAATAATATTGTTTTGTTTGCGTCTAAACATTGCGACCATCCACACTAAATATTCTTTTTTTTTTTTTTTTTACTATCGTACCATGAATATTTTCTCAAATTATCATTAAACGTGGAGCTAACAGATTACTAGATAAAATAAGAACTTAATAAGTTGCCATCAGCCGAGTCCTTGCCAGAAGCGGCCCGGACTCTACAGACAGACTCGGGCCGGATATGGTTGACCGGAATCGGGCCAGTGCTTTACAGCCGCATCACAACCGCATGTGCGCGAGCGAGCTGCGGCCCGCACTCGGCCCGGATAACACTCGCCGATGCCGAGTCGGAGCCGGAGGCGCCGGAGGGCAGCCGAGCTTGGGCCGATTACTGCCTGCTATCTGGGTAGTAACTGAAAACTATTGCAATTATTTTAAAGAAACATAAAACGAGTTTGTGTGTATGCTAACTTTGCGTGAAAGAAAGTTTCTGTAGACGAATCCATTAACTAACATGGCAAAACATGTGTTTTTTTCCTGATTTAACATTATAAAGTACCGTGGATGTTGAAAAAATCATTGTACAGGCGTTTGCTCATCCAACAGTATTAATTCTGTGATTATGTGTAAATAAAAACTAATCGTTTTAAATTAATAAAATATTATTGTTTATCTTGTTTATGCAGTGCGTCACGACAAATGATCGAAACTCGACTGTTTACTATTCTCTTTAAATTATCCAAGAGAAATATATTAGTATGCGCTTTAATGTGTTAGCCTATGTGAATCAATTATATCTTATGTTCAAGCTGTAATGGTCAGTTAATGTAAAACTGAACGTCTCAAAGCAGATTTTGATGTTTTTTTATGTTATTGACAGTGATAAATTCTGATTTAAATGAATGGGTAACAATATTTGTTGGTTAAGTCTTATTGTTCTTGTTTAACAAAGGTTAGTGAGATCATTTTGCAGCACATCACGACCAAAGCAGTCAATGGCACACTCTTATGAACATGTGAATAGGCATGCTATAGTTACATGCTTAAAGTCCACTATAAGCTGTAAACTGCTGATACATTTTCAACATAGATTGAGCTTTTCAGACTTTACATTATTAATTGCTTCACAAACAGCTGAAATGGTCTATTGTTATTGGCTATCATCATCATTAAACAGTTTTCACAATGGTAGGTTAATCTTCATGGGTACAGAATAATGCATGTGCTTGACCATCTTACAAATCTATGTCTCAGATTCATAAGGCTGTCACTCTGCATGAATCTCCAAATAAATCTTGTGCAACCTTCAGTGTGCTGATTATTTACACTATAGGTATTATATGCATTAATTAACTTTGATAGTATTTCAGGATTTGAACTTTTCTTTACGGGAGGTTAACAACAATGTGATGTTTTATTATAGATGCATATGAGGAAGCTCGACTCAAACATCCACACGCAACTGTGATTTCTGACTGGTAGACGGATGAGGATGATGATCGCCTGTCATACACCTAAAGGAAGAACAGGTTTGTTTGCAATTATTTTAAACACATACTGTCAACATTATGTCATTGATCTATTACAACCTGTGAGTTTTGTCCTGGCACTATACTAAAGTGATGTGTTGTTTTGTAAATGTATCTGATCAAGGGACAGTATAGACACATCTACACCATGATGAAGAAAAATTACTTGGAACAAAGAGGCTGGATAAAAGGCAGGTGTGAAGATTGTGTACACAAATACAATCTTTTAAATACAGAATGAAGTGTGTACATGTATATCCGCTCTATAAGGCTGAAGAGAATCTGATAATGACACTTTTCTGATTTGAAAATAGTTTATTCTTAAGTGGTCAATGACAGAGCGCAATAATGTGTGTATAGCACAGTTAATCATCTCATAATTTCATTTATAAATTATTCAGAGTTATGCATAGTTGTATTCTGATGTCATCACCGTCTTTTACATTAAGGAAAAGGACCATGGCCCAATCCTCAACCCCCCGAATCCCCCCCCCACCCCCACACACACACACACACACACACACTTATTTAAAATATTTATTATAAATGTATTTATTTGACATGGACATCACAATTACACTGGACAACCAAACACATTTGTTTAACTGTTTTAGCAAACTTGCTAATTCTCATTCTTGCTAATTCTTCTTGTTTCTGTGTGGAGTTTGCATGTTCTCCCCGTGTTGGCGTGGTTTCCCACACAGTCCAAACACATGCGGCACAGGTGAATTTAGTAAGCTAAGAGATTGTCAGTAGTGTATATGTGTGAATGAGTGTGTATGGGTGTTTCCCAGAGAATCCACAGTATGAGTGTGTATGGATGTTTCCCAGTGATGGAAGGGCGTCCACGGTGTAAAATATGTTGGGTAAGTTGGCGGTTCATTCCACTGTGGCGACCCCAGATAAATAAAGGGACTAAGCTGAATGAATGAATATATAACAGTATTACAGCGAATGAATCATGTCTGAAGTCAGATCGCTGAGTAACACGCAGAGAGGGCAGGGAAGTTAAGGAGGAAGATCCATACAGAATCAGTCAGCTTCTTTTTTATTTTCTATAAAGACGTCTCAGCCTGTGGTGTGTAGAGCAGAGGAGTGTGTGATGCATCCTGAGGCTCAGACAAAGCTCCAGCAGGAACATTCCCATCTTAACTAAAGCAATCCCTCAGGTAGTCCAGTGTTCTGCCTGTATCATTAACCCTGCTGTTAGTGCCGTCATCATGGGCTCTGTGTGATGCTGCTGCGCTAAATGAATGAGTGAATGCAGTGTGCAGACATGAATGAGTGAGGAGAACAGGCGGAAAACACTCCGGCATTCATCACAGGACACTCAGGGAAACAAGAGGCGCTCGCTCGGCTTTATTTAAAATACTTTATTTCATTTTCACTAGAGCAGGTAAAATGCCGGGATTTCCGGGTACTAGTCAGAATATAGGTTGTGGAAAAAGTGCAATAGCCCCGCCCCTTTATTTAAATAAGATGGAAATCCCACGGCACAACAGAGAAGACCCGTTCGGGCTCACAGGCAGGTCAAATACAGCACCAGGTATAATCAGACATCGTAAAGTGTCTCTCCAGATGCACCCAACAACAGAATCAACCAAATATAGCACACACACACACACACACACACACACACACACACTATACATTTGAGAATACATTGGCTAGTGAGGCTTTCAGGACACACACAAACAAACACACACACACTCAAACACACACACTCACGCAATCGCATCTTAAAACATCACACACAGTTTTGCAAGTTCCACAGTGACTACAATGCGAAGCTATTTAGAGCAGGGAAGCGGATGAAGAGTACAGACGTGATCATCGCATGTCAACAAGTCAAGTTCAGCATGAAGTACAGTCCCCTGCTGGTGACGACCCGACCTACTGTCCGCGCGCTACACGTGGATGTGCTGCGTATATGAGCTAACTCTATGTGAACACATCACCGTTAAAACAGAAACATTCTTGGTGGAATGACGGAAGCACTGCAGTCCCCGCGGGTCCCGGGACAAAGACGAGACATCATCAACACACACAATGTACCAGTCAGATGATCTGAGAGGGTCTCATTACAGATTTACTGTCAGTTTGCTCCCTTCAGATGCGCATGATCGACACGGCTGACGGCAGGCACGGACCGCACGCCACTCACTTCTGCTTGTTTGGGCATAATCAGAGCAGAGCTCTTCATGCTTCACACAGTCTGCAGGAATCAGCGCTGCGTCATTCTGTGCCACTGTTCTGAGAGCAGGTCTGAGCTGCTGAAATGGCTGGCTGCACTAAAACCTCACAGCAGAGCTAACCTGTGTGCATCAGGCCATTTCACCAGCTCCAGCATGAGCTCTGGAGTGCAGAACAGTGGCACAGCTGTATCTGCAGAGACGTTCATCAGTCCACAAGCTCTCCAGCACAGCAATGGCATTAATGGGGATGTTCATGAACCCAGCGGGCGTCTATTGTGTTTAGTAGACGTCTTGGCTAAATCAAAACAAGACTGTAAGAAGTGATTAGTCATGTAAAGCCATGAACCAAGTGCCTTAATAGCAACACGTTGACTTCAGACAGACAGTGTAAGCCATTGTAACTTGAAGCTGTTGACTTGATTTTTATAATTATGCGAACTGTACTCTTATTTTTAAAATTGACTAATCCCTATTGCAGTGTCAGACTATTTCAGCATGACTGTTGTCAAATAATTACTGTAATTATCACAATAGTACACATTTGGTGCTTCATTAAGTCTATTAAATCTACAGTTAAAGCCTGTGTCGAGTTGAGAAGACTCTGGAGTCTGGAGGAGCAGATTCACTCCTCCAGTCATTTAGTGAGATGCAGAAAAGCTGGAAGATGAATATAATACAGGTGCACTGGACAATTGCTCACTTTATCTAACAAAAGTGATTAGCATAATTATACAAATATTTATCAGTTCCAATGGGTTTACTTATATTCTCTTTGTAAACGTGTTGCTTGTAAGGCGCTTGGTTTAGTCGCTTTACTAATCACGTTTTACAGTCCTCAGTCAGTCTGTGTTTGATGAGCCGTCCAGTAATGACTCTATCAGATTTCCACTAAACTCAGTCAAGATGTCTATTAAACCACGAGGGGCTGAATCTCACATGGCACATGATTAAAGAAGAAATGATATCATCATGAGGAAATTAGTTTGATGAACTCAATGAATGTGTTTAGCACCAACAACAAAACTATTTACACAATTGAGTCGGTCCAACATGATTTTGTCAAATAAAAGTTTGAGCACATTGGTATTTTTATCTAACTTAAACTCGAAGGTGTCGTGCATTTCAGAGTCTCTTAAGTTACACTGTAAAAGGTGATCAGTTGCTTCTCCTCTTGAGGCTATTTTACATGCAATTGTTTTATTTCTCTTTGCTTTTTGGGCTTACTGGAAGCTAATTAGAATAAAAACCCAAGTATCATCTTTTAATATGATGTACGTTTAGAGAAAAGTGATGTCCATACATGTGGACTCGTGGTCTGAACTAACATAAAACACTTTCTCCTGACTGTTTTGACTATCAGAGAGTAAAAACAACACCCCCCTTTTGGACTGTTAAAATAGTGTTTGGGACATTTCATGTGCTGCACAACAGTTGCAGGATGACCCTGTGTGTCTGTAACAGAATATAAAGCATTCCGAGTGTTTTGAACAGACACTTATGAGCTCAAATGTGCTGTCACCGGATGTGGCCACTAAGCTCTAGAAGGGTAAAGCAAGTGCCTGAAAAACAACACGTTGACTTTACAAGAATAATGTGAGTAAACCCACTGTAACTTGGATATGTTAAGTTGACTTAATTTTTTATAGTTATGCTAAATGTACTCAATTGAAAAAGATGAAAGCTAATCACTTTTTCCAGTGCACCTGTATTATATTCATCTTCCAGCTTTTCTGTATCTCGCTAAATGACAGTCACTAAAGTAAATCTGCTCCTCCAGACTCCAGTGTGTCCTCTCAACTCAACACAGGCTATAATTGTAGATTTAATAGACTTAATGAAGCACCAAATATGCAATATTGTGATAATTATTTGAAAACAGACATGATAAAATAGCCAGACACTGTAAAAGGGATTGGTTGACTTTTAAAGGTGAGTACAATTGGCATAACTCTAAAAATCAAGTCAACTTAACAGCTCCAAGTTACAATGGCTTTACTTGCGTTATTTTTCTGAAGTCAACTCTTTACAGTGCATCCTATAAGAGCCGTTTCTGAGCATGTCTCACGAGATACACATACAGTTGATAGAGACGACTGGACAGCCATTGCTGCACGGTGGTTATCTCTAAACCCAAAGCATTACAGGAAACTCTTCTACATCCTCAAACTGAAGTGAAGATTCCACTCTAACAAGTCTTTCAACCTTAAACACTGAAGATTACTTTTATTGTCAACATTTTCCTCTCTTATTTCAGTCCCTTAATAAGTAATAATGGTTTAATAATGGTTATGAGAGCATGAGATGAACATTATACACTGATAACAAATCATTTCAAAATAAAAGCCCTCCATGACAGCATTACTGTGTAAGATGTGCTTGAGTTTTTTCAGAGTAATTTCTGTGGGAGTATCTGCTAATGAACAGTGTGTGCATTCAGTGTTTATTAGCGGAGGTGAACTGCATTATGGGATGTTGATCTCTGCTCTGTGCTCTTCTGATGTTGAAAATTCACCTTAAACTATTACAAACGCTCATGAAAGTCACTTAAACGTTCTTAGAAGGAGATCAAGCTCCCATAATGCAACTCTTCTTGCTGTGGTTTATTTTCCTCTGGATGAAGCCCTGCCCAGGCAGATAAAGTGGCGTATTCAGCACGAGGAGGAGAAATGCCATGAGCTGTGGATGCTGGAGAGCTGTGTGTGGTGTCGGGAGCGCCCCCAGACGAGCAGCCGGTGAATGAACGCGAGCGACAGGGAACAGTGACATGATCGGGATGTGCCATAAACGAACAGGACTGGGGTTATTCCAGCTTTCAGGGATCTGGATCTGTTACAAATATATACTATCAGTACAAAACAACACCTGTGCATGATGGGGCGGTCGGTTTGAGTATCGGAAGTACATTCTAGAGCATGCAGTAGCACCATGTTTCTTGAGGTCACTTCACATCTCAAGAGCTCCTCTACTTTCTCCTCCGGCCGCAGTATTTGCCCTGACAGCCCGCTCCGCCTGCAGAACAACACAGCACAAGCCAGCCGTCAGCATCCGGAAAACAAGTTCTGATCTCAAAACGTGTAGAGTACACACTGCAGTGTTTCTGAGCCGTAATGTGTATTATACTGTATGTGTTATAGTGTTTCCAGCAGTTAATGAATGCTGCAGCGTACTGTAGTGTTGACTACAGTGAACTGATCAGCTGTAATAGAGACTGAAGTGTACTCTACTGTTTACTGCAGTGAAGTATAATATACGCTAAAGCTAGGCCCACATCGAACCAACGCACACAGAAATCTGCAGATTTATAGCCCATCATTGAGTCTGTGTATTTACATGTGTAAATGTGTACATTTATATTAATTTAAAGTTATTTTCAGTAACACTATTGACTAATGTGACATGTTCAAATGATTTATTTGCTATAGAATACGTGAAGTCATGTTCTCTTTAAGTATATATATATATATATATATTATATGAGAGATCTGCTTTGTTTACCCAAATAAGTCTTGATTAGATCTAATTAGATTTGCATTGTAAACATTACACTTCTCTTTCATATATGCAGTTCTTAGCTATGACACTCCTGAAATCATTACACACAAAAGAAATGGCAAAACATGTACGCAGATTCTGTCTGACCTTGCCTATAGCTGCAGAAAACTACAGTGCTGGGCCAGTTGTTTATATTAGTATAGTCGTGTTACCATAGCAACTGTAGAACTACCACTGTAGATCAATTACTATAGTTGTTACCGTAGCAACTGCAAAACTGCTACTGTTTATCAATCACAGCGGTTGTTGTGTTACCATAGCAACTACAGAACTATTACTGCGGATCAATCACTGCGGTTGTTGTGTTACCATAGCAACTACGGAACTATTACTGCGGCTCAATCACTGCGGTTGTTGTGTTACCATAGCAACTACGGAACTATTACTGCGTCTCAATTACTGCGGTTGTTGTGTTACCATAGCAACTACAGAACTATTACTGCGGCTCAATTACTGCGGTTGTTGTGTTACCATAGCAACTACGGAACTATTACTGCGGCTCAATTACCGCAGTTATGTTGTTACCATAGCAATTACAAAATTACTTCTGCGGATTAATTACTATAGTTGTCGTGTTACCATAGCAACTTTAGAACTATTACTGCGGATCAATTACTGCGGTTGTTGTTACCATAGCAACTACAAAATTACTTCTGCGGATCAATTACTATAGTTGTCGTGTTACCATAGCAACTTAAGAACTACTATTGCAGATCAGTTTCTACATTTGTTGTTACCGTAGCAACTACAAAACAACTACTGCAGATCAATTACTACAGTTGCCATGTTACCATAACAACTACAGCACTACTACTGTGGATCAATCGCTACCATTGTTGTTACTATAGCAACTACAAAACAACTACTCCAGTGAACTACTACAGTTGTTGTGTTACCGTAGCAACTACAGAACTATTACTGCGGATCAATTACTGCGGTTGTCATGTTACCATAGAAACTATAGAACTACTACAACTGCTTACTACTGCTAACGAACAACTACAGTTGTTGTTACCATAGCAACTACAAAACTACTACTGCAGTTGTTGTGTTACCATAGCGACGGTAGAATCTCCACAGTAGATCACTGAAGGTGATATAGTTTAGCATCGCTCCGCTGAATGATTGACCATAAATGACTGCAGTTTTTCATGTGCGGTTGTGCCAAACGGAGTGGGTTTGGAACAAAGTGCTGACAGATTTCCACAGATTTTACACGGCCAGGAATGTGTCTGTTCGATGTGGAATCGCTCTTCTTCAGTTACTCATGTATGTGTGTATATTGTAGTAATGGTCAGCAGCAGAAGGCCATGCAGTGTCTGCCGTGATCAGAGCGTATAGTCTGGGACGTCCGTCAGAAACACCGCAGTGATCATGAGGAATCAGTGATCATGAGGCAGCAGGGATTAATTCTGTCGTACCTCGATACCCTCCTCCCAGGAACCCTGTCAGTCCACCACCGTATTTAGCTGCTTTGGCTGAGGAAAGAAGAATAGGTGAAAGATCATTATATATCTACAGACAACCTGGTATTAGCCTGTGTTCAAAGAGTGCATGCAGAGGTGAGAAGACCATGTCAAGCTGAAGGTGCGTTATGTAGAGGTCGTACCCTGCTGTGGGGATAGTCCTGCTCCATATCCTCCTGAAACACAGAAACAGAGGAGAGAGATGAGTCTAACTCTGCAAATTAAACAAAGAATATCAGTGAAACAAAAGCAGAACAAGCTGTCTGACTCTGAGTTTGTCTTGGTTCTAGTCCAAACATCTACAAACTGCTAAATCAAGAAGCATTGTCTTGACAAGCACAGCATATGGTCTTGTTTCAAGAAATAATGAGTCAAAATGAAGAGAGTTTCTCTTTAAAACAGGCAGGATAATCTGACAATGAGGGAAGTTCAGCACTTAATTTTGACTTTTTATTTCTGAAAGCAAGACAAAAACTCTGAGTAAGAAAAGCATTTTAAGCGAGGAGATTAATGGCCAACTGTGACCAACAGCATCTGTAATAATAATAATAAGAATAATAATAATTAATATTATAATTATACTAATAATAATACTACTAATGTTAATAATAATAACAATAAAATAATGATACTAATAATAATACTAATAATAATAATACTAATAATAATAATAAAAATTAAAACAAATACAAACACCAATAATAATAACAACAATAAAAAATAATATTAATACTAATAATATTATTAACAATAATACTATTATTATAATTATTATTATTTTTATTATTATTATTTTTATTATTTATTTTTTATTATTATTGTTATTATTTTATTATTATTATTATTATTATTATTCATAATAATAATAATAATAATAATAATAACAAAGCCGGGAGCATCTGTCTGCTGTGATGACAGTGTCCAGCATGCAGCAGTGTGCTGTGTTTGACAGAAGTGAGCACAGGTGTTACTGTACCAGCACTGAGAACACAATGCAGATATACTTTGCATGATATTTGCACTCTAACTCAGTGCTTTTCATAGCCAGCGGATATATATGCTCATTTATGGGCTGCTCTCACGCTGCTACAGGTGTACTGTTTTATCAGTTTAACAGGCTCAATAACCTGCCAATGGGGGAAGCAGAATGATGTTATTTCAAAGCTAAAACAAGATTATTGTGGAGAAACTCGATTAGTTTTGACTCATTATTTCTGAAAACAACACAATATTATGTTCTTGTCTAGAAAATGCTTCTTGATTTAGGAGTTGGTGGATATTTGGACTCGTGGTAAGACCGAAAAGCATGTCTGCAGTGTATAAATGACCCTGAAGACCACCGAACAGGGCTATTCAATTCAGAGGCAATCTGTTCCGGCCCTCCAGACAGTGCACCGATGATATCAAAACTAGATTTAGTTATAAAGTTCAGCATATTAATATATAAATGTAGACAAAGCCAGCATGGGTGTCTTAAGGAGAAAAGCACAGCATATGGGCTCATACAGTATATGCAGTTGTGTCATCACTCATATTGCAAGTCATCTCTCTCCGGCCCCTCAGTTAGCATGCTTTACATGAACTGGCCCCCATGATAGTCTAATTGAATAGCCCTGCACTAGAACAAGCTGAACTCCATCAGAAGACACTGTGTTATATGTTGTATTATTATTTCACTAAAGCATTACCTGGATAAGCTCCGTATCCTCCAGCAGCTACACCGCCTGCAGAGAAGAGAGAGATGGAGATTTACACATGAACAGGAGATCACTCACTCCTGCATTTCTTTACCAGTTTCTTTCTTATGTCAAACACAAATTAGGATTTTCTGAAGAAAGATTAAAAATTAATTCATTATTTTAAATCTTGATTAGGGTTAAACAGAATAAAGAAACTCGTAAAGGTTAGGAAGCACTTGAGGAGAGTAAATAATGAGTAAATTTTCATGTGTGTGTGTGTGTGTGTGTGTGTGTGTGTGTGTGTGTGTGAACTGACCCTTTAACTGATATGAAAGTGTGTAGTGTGTGTTTTCAGTTCATTCATATGGAAGTTGAGCACTCATGCAGTGCATTATGGGAGTGAACACAGCACAGAAAGGCATTGAGAGCAGCTGAGAACGTCAGAAATGATTCTCGAATTTGTGCTGATTTCCTGGATTGACTATGACTATGAGAACGCATCCTTCACACTGTCATCTTACACACACAGCCTGGACCAGAATCAGTGCCTGTGTGTTTATTATTGAGCAGTTCTTGTGTGTGTGTGTGTGTGTGTGTGTGTGTGTGTGTGTGTGTGTGTGTGTGTGTGTGAGTGTGTGATGTTGGTCAGTGTATAGCAGTATTGCAGTGTACAGGACCTCTCGGGGGTTCACTAATGTTGTGTTCGACTGATATACAGATTTCCCTGCAGGATTCGCAGACTCTGAGGGGCTGGTTGGTCATCCTCTGAAGCTTTAATCTTATGTATTTATTCCAAGTATATGCTAATGAATGTCTGCGTCAGGATTTCCAGCATCATTAATGGCGGGCCTCACCTGGCTGTGCGTATCCTGTGCCCACAGAGCCGTAACCTGCAGATACACACGACACAATCACAGCTCACACACCTCAAAGAAAACACAACTCAAATACGACCAGTACACATGAGCGATGCGCATCGACGTCCCTACAGCGCTGTCTCTACAGCTCCCCAGCCGTGAACACGAGGTACAGCGACAGCTCGCCGATAATCACCGATTCCTGTGAATCTGCTCATGTCCATCATTAAAGCAGAGTCTGAGCTGAATCTGTGCGGTTCCAGTGACTCGTATGATGTAAATCAGTGGAAAATAAACACAAACAAACATGTCCACATCCATCCTGCTGTCTCCTGAAGACACACTGAGCTCTGCTGAAGCCAAACCAGCGCTCTGTGCAGGAAGGGACGGATTTGGACTTGCTTATAGGTGTTTATTCTTCATAATAACCTGTAACTATAGTCACCAATAACCACACACTCAGCTAAAATCATCTGCAGTGGTGTACTGATGAACAACACCACCTTCATCTCCAGCATCACGAGGGTGAGTCAATCACCAGTACATCACTCTCGGGTCAGCCATGGCTTCGACTGAAGCTTGAGTGAGCACAGAGAGAGTATGTCTGGAGTTCATCTGGCATGATCCACTTATAAAACACCGCTCTATAGTCTGTATTGTCAGACATTAAATGTCATATGTTGTCCTACCTGGTTTTGGTGGTTTAGCACCAGTTCCCACGCCACCAGTTCCCAGTCCAACACCTGTAGCGAGAGGAGTAGACTCAGCAACAGCCCGATATCCACAGCACACACTCTATTCTCAGCGCATTTTCTCCATGTGGACGGACATTACTGCTACTGTCTGTCTGCTGTTCACATGACTAGCAAACAAATGTGTGCCTGCGTCCTTCCAAACCACATATCCCATCAATCAAGGTCACCCTGAATCCACACGCAGCTCGAGGACGTTATCATTAAACTCTTGGACTGTAAATATGTGTCTTGTCCAGCTGTTGCGGTCATTTCTGAGTGTTTCTGCCTGTGTTTTTGACCCGTTGGGCTGTTTCTACACTCTCAGAAATAAAGGTACGGGAGCTGTCACTGTGGTGGTGCCTTTTCAAAAGGTACAAATTGGTACCTTAAAGGTCCATATTAATACGTCAAGGGCACATATTAGTATCTAAAAAGTACAAAAGTGTTCCTCTTAAAATGTTTAGCTACTAATATATACGTTTGAGGTAGCAATATGGACCTTTTAAGTACAAATGTGTACCTTTTGAAAAGGAACCAGCCCAGAGTGTCGAAACAGCCCAACGGGTCAAAAACACAGGCAGAAACATTAGAAATGACCGCAACAGCTGGACAAGACACACCAACGCATTTACAACGTATTTACAGTCCAAGAGTTTAATGATAACTGTTTTTAGAGTTTGAGCTTGTGAAATTCTGTCATATGGCGCTTTGAAAAAGGAGCGGGATTAAACAAGTTGATTAGACACTTAAAAAAGGTGAAAGTCCAGTGTGAGCGCAGTGGTGGGGCAAGCGAGGCTTCGTGAAACACTGCTTCGAAACTTCGAAACCTTTCCAAACCCGTCTCTACAGGGACACCTAGTGGTTATTTTTAGGTATTGCTTTTAAACAACTTCAACAAAGAAACCATCATGCGGACTGAGGAATTACAGATCCCGTGGTCTAGACGAGGCTGGCTTAGTGGAGCGGTGGGTGCTCTTGACTGGCATGCAGATGATCTGGGTTCAAATCCAGGAGGAAGCAACTGTGGTTGTTTAATGTGTCACTTAATTGCTCTGTTCTTGTGTGTTTTGCTTTGACATAGTGAACTCTTGGTGACTGAATATGTGTTGCTTTGGTCAAAAATTAATGAAAGACACTTTCTGAATGACTGTACAAGCCGGGACCACCGCAGGTCACTTGCAGAGCGGTTGCACTACGCCGGGGATATGGTTTTGTCCTCGACCCTGTAAATCAGAGGCAGATTTGCCAGGTATCAGAACACCTTTGTAGTTAGGGATCTGTTGAATGGCTGTAGTCATGTGACCTGGGTGTTTCGAAATGTTTCAGAGCAGTGTTTCTATATATCTGTGATTCGAGATCTCGACATCGTGTTGAAACATCAGCATCATGTCAGCCATCCCTGTGGGTTATCTGTGCATGAGTGTCTGCTCCTGTTTTAACCTGTCGGCATTTGGATTCCTCCCGTCTTCTCATCTCCATTCGCATCAGTATTATTCGTCTGCCAACAGTGTTACATTATAATGTGTTTACAAAGGAGTATTGAAGGCAATTCTAATGAGTTCTGGTGAGTTCTGCCTCTTAGCTTAGGGTTCAATGCTAGGTGGGGGAGACCGTACCAAAGTTAAAGACAGGTAGGGGGGATGTTGAGAAGGCTGATGAGGCCAATAATGAGTTTTCTGGGTGAAATAACACAGCGGGAGGGTGGCGAACGATTGGTGTGAATACAGGAGACTCCTGAGAAGAGTCATGAGCAGGTATGATCACAGTCCAGCTGCAGTGCACTGATCTCAGTTTACATGGTCCACAAGTGTGTCACGGTTTTCTCCACATCGCCCTGTGACGGCCACTTAGATTTGGGTTCAGATCTTGTGAACAGGGCAGGAATAAAGCTTCAGGTTTTGCACTTTTCTCTTTACCGTGCAGTATTATTGGCACCATGCACAACATTATATGTGAAGTGCTGATGTTTAGCATGAAGTCTCACCTGCTCCAGGATACAGTCCTCCAACACCGCCAACACCACCCGCTCCTCCAACACCTGATGCACAGAGTCAAGCAGAGGCAGACTGAGAGAAGACTACAGTGCGGGTGTGTGTTCAGTAATGTTGAGCACTGTATTTGTGTGCGGGAATATGAATGTAAGGTCAAGACATGATTCCAAGCATAGACATTTACATGTGGAGCAGATATTCCTGTGAAACTAATATTTGCATGTCCAGTTACAGAGGATCTGACTGCATTTACATTCATCCAGAACTGCACCTAATGCAGGCTAATGTGGCCTCTGGATTCTTCTGCAGCCTGGATGTCAAACTCAACACCTGTGTTCACATGAGCACTGCTAGTCTTGCTGGAGAACTCTGAAGGTGAAATACTGTGATCTTACCAGGGGCTTTCAGCGGTTTGGCTCCAGGTAAAACACCAGTCCCGACTCCAGACGGTCCAGCGCTACCGTAATATTGGCCTTAATAATGAATGAGGAAACACTCAGCAGGGTTTAGACTTTGGTATGTCTTTCATTAGTTATCAATCCTTAATGTAAGCCTTTAGATAATTATTGAATTAGTTTCCATACTAAATGATGAACTAATATTTACCTGAGCCATAGGGGTAAGCTCCGCCAGGAACTGCAAACACAGACATAAACATCCAGTCAAATAACGCCGCCGGCTGCTTTACATCATACTTCACAATATTTCATGAAAGGTTATGCTTATTGTTGTTGTTTGTGTGTAAACACACACACACTATTTTTCTTTCAGAGAACACACACATACTGGGTTCCACTTAATGGGTGACCATACATTATTATTCACTAGATATCATAAGAGGTGGTTCACTCCACTGTGGCAACCCAGGGTTAATAAAGGGACTAAGCTGATAAGAAAATGAATGAATGAATGACATTATAAGAAAGGTGAAATTTTATGATATGAACGGTTCTATCCTGCCCTCTAGTGGTGTATCAAAGCAATGCAGTTTTAGAGACCGAGAGAGCAGATCTCCTCAATGACAGGAAGATCTGAATCACATGCTCTCTGATGCTGCTGAACTCGGGCATCATGTGGGTTTGCACTTACCAGCGCCGGGCACTCTCTGTGCTCCACCTGAGTGACAGAACAGCCATGATTACAAGCGGTCATGAGCAAACACACCAGCAGACAGAAACAACAGTGGACATAACCTCTCGTCTGTCCATCGGTGACCCCGTCTGGGTCATTCTCAGCACACACTGCCCTTTGAGTCCAGATGACTGACCGACATGATCAACAGGACCAAGCTTCATTATCAAACACATAAATGTAGCTTGAGCTGACCTGAAGACATCGCAGCCTTTATTAAATGTGTTTTATGAGTAAGTCATTTGTCCTTGTGCTTGCAGAAATTTCTTGCTCACACTTTAATTTCAAATACAGTTCTCACTGTTAACAAACCCCAAACCCAACGCCTCAATTAACTCCTCAGTAGTCATTAAGACAGTAGCTGGGTTTGGGTTTTGAGAAGGATCAGGGATGAGTTCATACTTTATAGCAGGGGTCATCAATCTCACTCCTGGAGGGCCGGTATCCCTGCAGGGTTTAGCTCCAACTTGCCTCAACACACCTGCCTGGGTGTTTCGAGTATACCTAGGACACCGGACCTCCAGGAGCAAGTTTGGTGAATCCTGTATTAATAAACTGTCAATATCTTAATAATTAGTGAGAATCAGTCCTTAGACTAATGTGTTGCCATGACTTTTCTATTTTAACATATGATTATGAAGCATGTTGGCAAACGGCACAGCATCCTGAGAATGATCCAGCAACACTGGATGAACAACCTCAGCAACATCCCAGAGAAGACTGAAACCAGGATCCAAAATTAACTTTCTGCCTCACCTGCCAATGAAGGGAGAATTAAGCAGAATTATTGGCCATATAACGTCTCACTAGACAGGGAAGTGCATTTGGCATTTACTTCATTAAATGGCAGAGGGATATTTTGACAGGTTTTGTCTTCTACACTTGCGTGATCTTATCGTGCAGTGCTTATTCATCACTGAAGGTTGCCAGAATGAGAGGTTTTGAATGTGCACTATGTTGATTTATCTGCAAAAGCCCATTTTAGCATTCATTTGTCACTTGGTGAGAGTTAATTTTGGTCCCTGCTCACAACCGATCACCATCTTTCTCAGTTCTAAGTGTATTGTCTGAAGAGATGAAGCATTGATGGTCTGTACAGAGAGTTATCCTGCCACAGCTACAGGCTGTCAGCAACACATCTGAGAAAACGCAGACCGGCAAACTCAAGCACTAATGTTAGATGGAAAACCAAAGCAAATAATGGTAATGGAGTTCTGCTACATTTAGACGAGACATTTGTACATGCAACACAGTAGATCTTACTGGGCTCAGGGGCCTTGCCAGTTCCTACAATAGCCGTCGGTCCTGCCAAAAAACAACATGATCCACCTTCAACTCTTGCAGTTCACAGAGCACAAAGAAAACTAGCTATCAGTTCTGAAGCCTGACTGATGTGTGTTTGACTCTGTTTGATAGGTCAGGGGACAGGGACAATTCCAGCCAGCTGACAAGGGTCATCTCTTATACTGTACCAGGGGTCACCAAACCTGTTCCTGGAGGGTCCTGCAGATTTTAGCTCCAACCCTAATCAAACACACCTGAACAAGCTAAACAAGGTGTTACTAGGTAGAAACAATCAGGCAGGTGTGTTGAGGCAAGTTGGAGCTAAACTATGCAGGTACACCGGACCTCCAGGACTGAGATTGGTGACCCCTGACTTATAGGATACAATCCTACAGCAAACATATCTAGCCGTATTATTGTCTTTAACTGTTGCAGATTATCATCTGACACTCAAAAACTCACGAGAATATAACACAATTGAGTCATTATTACATTTGAAGTGGTCAATGACAAAAATTGGAGTCAAATTCGAGCAGCATTACCTGAAGAAGCCACTGCTGGGTGTTCCTCATCACTGTGGCGTGTGTGCTGCATTTGTGGCCTCTAGAGGTCCTCATTGTGCCTTTGTGTCTTGTTGTTATGGCTTTCTACTTCAATGTCACCTAGGTTTGTTTTGTTGTGCAAGTCTGTTATTGTAATGCTCTTGAGAGCTGGGGTCACCCTCTCCCCAGTGGCTGGAAGTAAGGCTTTCACACCACAGGCTGATGAGCTGCTGCTTAGGGTGTACTTACACTAGGTTATACGAACCGCGCCTGAGTACCCCCAAATCCCACCTCAAACCTGTGTGAGCGCTCCATGCTACGCCCCGGGCACGGATCAGATTAAAGATTAAAAGAGGTGCCTCAGAGTGCAGTTGGGTTGGGACTACTCTTACATGCATACTGAGCACATGTGACATCTCTGTTTAAGGGATTGTTCCATATGGAGTTCAACCCATTCTTGTCAATGAAGGAGAACCAAGATGCAAACTCTTCACTGCACAACCTCTCAAATCTAATCCCAGCTAGTACCATCCCGAGTAGTAGGCATTGATATTAGCACACTATTATTTGCACTCACTGATTGATGTCAACAAAGAAACATAACAAAGAGTGAACCAACGCATCAGACAGAATCTGCTTTATATTTACCTGGTACGGCCGTCCCTGCAGGAGCCAGGGTTGGAAGCTTGGCTGTGGATAGAGCACAGTTTTAGTGCAACTCACCTCATGTGATTCATGGCATTTGGTACAGAAGTTCTATTTTCATATACCTGGTTTTCCACTTGGTAGAATAGGAACTCCAGTGCCACTGGGAACAGCAATGCCTGTGCCACCAGGAACACCAGGAACTACAATACCCGTGCCACCAGGTGTGGCCCCAGGAGCTGCTATACCAGTCCCAGCGATCCCCGCGCCTGCAAGACAATTGAGGAAAGTGCTTTCTGTTCTGTCAGGTGACCTTAATAACATGCACGGCACAGAGACAGCTTTAGTCATGCAGTATGTGAAGCTTAGTTTTAGGAACTACTCTACCAGTCTTAGGAGGTTTGACTCCACCGGGATATCCTGCAAACATTGGAAAATAATCTCACTGATTTCCTCCTGTTTTTATCTGGCACTGATTGTGACCTGTTCGTTGGTCAGTCAAAGCAATTACTGTACCTCCAACGCCAGCTCCTGGTGCCAGTCCTGTGCCGGTTCCAGCAAGTGGTACTCCTCCTGCCCCGGGCACTGTGCCTGCACCTCCAGCAACTCCTGCAGGCAAACATCTCACCAATCAAATCAATGCCGATAGTTTCACTAGCATGTTTTTCAGTCTGTAGCAAATTGTATTAACATCATTAAGATTCGTATTGACAATTCAAGAGGTCACTGGCACATACAATCTTCACTGTGAAATGTCCTGGAGATCGAGCTTGCTGCAAAGTTAAGTTATAAAGTTGATTAAACACACATGAAATGGTCCATTAGGAGTTTCGGGGGCACTTTAGACTTACAAATGTGTGTAGAAGTAGGGTTACACTAAACTTTGCAAGTACAGAGATCTCCAAGAACAGGACCGGGTGGGTGTTCCCTATTTACGCTATTTTGGGTAAAAGTTAAAAGGTAAAGTGTGATAAATGTACATGGCAATACAACATGTTAATGTGTCTCACCATATTTTGGAGGTTTAACTCCTGCTGGGTACCCTGTAATGGCATAAATTCATTTTAGAGAATAAATTTTAGTGAACACTTTTCACTAATGAAACGCACTGTTATGACAATCAGTTCAACTTAAGTATTTAGTTTATTCAAAGGGTTAATTTAATAACCAATGTTGAAGTAAAAACAAAATTCAAAAGAGCTTTTTGTATAAAACATATCTAAAATAAGAATAATAACAACAATAAAAACCTCCAGGCACACCACCAGGTACTCCTCCAGGCACTCCTCCAGGTACTCCTCCAGGTACTCCTCCAGGTACTCCTCCAGGTACTCCTCCAGGCACTCCTCCAGGTACTCCTCCAGGTACTCCTCCAGGTACTCCTCCAGGCACTCCTCCAGGCACTCCTACTCATGAAATAAATTTGTCATTTTAAAATGTTATTAAATGTAAATAGAGCCACAGCTTTTATTCTGTATTCTGACATACACAACATTGCCACATGTTTCAGGACACATCTCCAAATCATTGAATTCAGGTGTTCCCCTTCCTGCCATGCCCACAGGTGTGTAAAATCAGGCCCCTAGGCATGGAGATGCTTCTACAAGCATGAGTGAATCGGTCCCTCTCAGGAGATCCGTGAGTTCAGCGGGCTCATGCTGAGGTGCAGTCCCCAAATTTTAGCAGAGTCAATATCTACAGACCTCCAAACTTCATGTGGCCTTCAGATAAGCTCAAAAACAGTGTGTAGAGAGCTTCAGGATTGGGTTTCCATTGCCCAACAACTGCTTCCAAAGCTTACATCACTAAATGCAATGCAGAATGTGGGATGCAGTGATGCAAAGCAGGCCGACACTGACTCCAGAGCAGTAGAGATGTGCTCTCTGACCGTTCCTGCTTCTCTGTCTGCCAGTCTGATGGATAAGTGGAGGTTTGGCAGTTTCCGTGATAACTCAACTAGCCTGACTGCATTGTGCTGAGGGTAGAGTTTGGTGCAAGGATGGTTATAGTGCAGGTTGTTTGGGCTCAGCTCCTTAATGTTCCAACATACCAGGACATTTTGGACAGTTTCTTGCTCCCAACTTTGTGGAAACAGTTTGAGGATAGCGATTCCCACTCAACATGACTGCACACCAGTGCACAAAGCAGAGCAAATAAAGACAAGGACGAGTGCTTTTTGGAGGAACTGGTGAGGCTTGACCTGAACACCTTCTTCAAGATAAATTAGAGCAGAAACTAGAGCCGGGACTTCTCATCCAACACCAGCAGATCTCACACATGCACTTATAGAAAAATCTGTTTAAATAATTCCATCCCTAACCTTACAGAAAAGCCTTCTCAGAAGAGTTGAAGCTGTTACAGTGGCAAAGAAAGGGTCAAGTCCATATTTAACCCAGCCTATTAGGACATCATGTGCATGTAAAGGCATATGCTCCAAAATATTTGGCCAAATAGTGTAGATCTGAGGGGAATGTATCATCCAAAAAACTTTTAAACAGGTCATTGATTAGATGTTGACGGGTGGGCACATCACTCAACAATGTGTGCAGATGAGCAGGAATTTCACAACATTAAATACTTGGAGATGTCCTGCATTCATCAGCAGAGAGATGTTGAGAGTGTTTGACTTATAGTCAATTATATTTTATTTTTATGAATAAAATTAAAACCATTTACCGTATTTAGGTGGTTTTGCTCCAGCGCCATATCCTGTGGAAAGGTTAAACTGTTTTACCATTATGTAGAAGGCATCTGTTTATATGCAAAATGAAGCAAACGCTTTCCTATACTCTATATCATTATTGGAAATGAATTACCACATGCAGTGTTTCACATTTGTGGGAATAGCATATCATTCTTAGCATCAGTCCATGATCATGCCCTTTCATGAAAGCTACTAAATATCTCTCCAAATCAGCGGCTGCCAACTCTGTTCCTGGACATCTACTGTACCTTCCTGCAGAATTCAGCTCCAACTCTGATCAAACACATCTGAACCAGTTAATTATAGGAATCTGAAATCTGCAGGAAGGTGGATCTCCAGGAACAGGTTTTCTCTATCCATCATCCTGTGCTGGTGAGAAATCATCCGCTTCATTCTGCTGGATGTGTCTCAGTCACAACTGTTAACTACTGGGGTACCAAAGGTTTGGCATTTGACCCGCTCTTCTTGCTGATGTACACCACACCACTGGCACCAATAATCCAGCCGGATGCTTTATTCTTCTCCACTGGTGTGCTGAGAACAAGCAGCTCAGCCTTTCTTTCAACTCTCATGATCACAGTCTATGTGTGTGAATGGGTGTGTATGGGTGTTTCCCAGAGATGGGTTGCAGCTGGAAGGGCATTCACTGCGTAAAATATATGCTAGATAAGTTGGCGGTTCATTCCGCTGTGGCGACCCCTGATTAATAAAGGGACTAAGCCGAAAATGAATGAATGAATGAATGAATGAATGAATGAATGAGAGTGCAGTAATTTCACCTCCAAAAGGATATCCAGTTCCTGTCCCAGCTCCACCCAGGGCTCCCCCCAAACCTATTGACAACACAAATGGCACTGGGTATCATATATCTTACAACAGATTTACAACTTGTTTGAGAATGTACTTTGCATTTTAATATGCTATACAGTCACATAGCTGATTCCTTTAAAGAGGTATCTTACTAGCAAAAACAAAAGGTAATAATACAGAAATCATAATAACGATACACCATTTCCGAATCACACGTCTATTTAATATGTAGTTTAGGTCATGCATATCTGTTTAAATTTAATATTTGACTAGTAGTCGAGAGCAAAAGCAGCAGACCATCTCAAATTTCAGCAACAGAATCTTGTTTTTCCTTAATTTCTCCATTTCTTCTCCTATACCCCACCACTGAAAAAGGCTTCCATTAGTTTCACAGCAGAGAGCTTAATTGCAGTGAAGCCATGTATTAATGAGTCAAACGAGTTCAATCATGGTTCCAAGCCATTGAGCATGAGCTGTATTTTCAAACATTTTCAAACATTCAAGTCGGATCTGTTTCAAATAGCAGGCTTACAGTACCAAATGGATTTATGTTTTCAAAGCCAGCAGTAATTGAGCAGACTGTTTGATTTGGGGCTTGCAACACACTCTACAAATGTTAAATACAAAACAGAGAAATGTCTGTACATGTCTAGACGAGCTTGAATACAGTGTAAAACAGGAAAAGTTAAATTACTGAAGAAAAAAAGCACATCCAAGCAGTCCTAATGATCTCTCTGCTGTTCATATCACTCGTGTGTCGTGTCATCTGCTGTATTTACTCACAGTGTAAACAACTGTTAGATGTGGCAGAGCTCTGCTCATCCAGAGCCTGATTTCCTACCTGGTCTCTGGAGTCCAGGCACAACACCAGTCCCTGCTGGCAAACCCCCACTTCCCAAACCTAAACAGAGGTATTTTTACATTTAGCCAGAGAGATTAATGTGCCTACACACTAGTTAATACAGAATTAATCAGCTATTATAAATACCATATTTAAGAGCCTTGGCTCCAGCAGGGTATCCTTAAAAATAGAAATAAGAAGAGATTGAAACATAATACAATCCTCAAAACCTCAGAAACACGTTTAAAAATTAGATATAAAACTCAGCTTCTCATATCATTGTGCTTTCCAGAAAGCAGCAGCCATACCTCCTGGTCCAGTTATTGGTATTCCTCCAGGGACTCCTCCGGGTACTCCAAAACCTGTTCCTCCAGGCACTCCTGCGGCCACAAAGCATAATATCTGACCGATCAATACTCGATTCACACTCAGTCAGTGGACCAGTTTTTATGATCTCAGCACAACTATTTTCTATTACAAACAACATTCAAACACAAACTGTAGAGCAACACATGTACAAACAGCTGAATAACACTGCCAAGACAGCTGAAACAGAAAAGAGTCAAGCCCTTACCATATTTAGGAGGTTTGGCTCCAGCTGCTAGCCCTGAAAGCATTCAACACTGTGACTAAATGTTCTCCAATGCTAAAAACAAAATTAGCTTAACTGACAAACATCCATTGTGAGAAATGGGGACATTCAAACATGTACGGTACCTCCAGCCCCAAGCTGTCCTCCAAGCCCAGCCACAGAACCATAGCCTGGGGCAACTCCAGCTCCTACACACAGTGAGCAGCTCATTTATTCATGCAGTACTTACTATAGTCTGGTGAAAGTGCTGTGAATATGCTATCCCTGCTGAAAAATCCAGCTTAAACCAGCCTAAGCTGGTTGGCTGGTTTTAGTTGGTTTACCAGCCTGGTTTTATAGGGTTTTTTTTTTTTTTCATTTCCAGGCTGGTTTCCAGCCATTTCCAGCCTGGTCTTAGCTGGTCAAGCTGGAAAATGACCAGCTAAAACCAGCCTGGTTTAAGCTGGACACAGCTGGTTTTGGCTGGGCTCCCAGCCTGGTTAAGCTGGGCAGGCTGGCTTTAGCTGGTCATCTCCCAGCCTGACCAGCTAAGACCAGGCTGGAAATGGCTGGAAACCAGCCTGGAAGTGGCCAAAACCCCTCTAAAACCAGCCTGGTCGACCAGCTAAAACGAACCAACCTAGGCTGGTTTAAGCTGTTTTTTTCAGCAGGGATGTTGGTCAAGCTGTACATTTCAGCCTAAGATGCTGGTTTCTGTTTTAAACCTAGCTGCTGTTTTTTTTACATATCATCAGTTATAATAATTCCCAAATTTGTATCATAGCTGGACAAGATCCAATATGGCAACTAGCATGGCTTTCAAAACAACAATAGCAACAATAATAACTAGTCCTTCAATTAGCTAGAATAACTAGATGCTCTCAGGATCAGCTCCCTCAAAACACCACTACTACTTACTGTAACATCAACTATCCACAGTACTTCACTAAGCAGATCACCAGGTTCTTGCTATTGACTAAAACTTCCAGTCTACTTAAGCCTGTACTGCGCACATCTCAATCTCAGTCAAGTTCGAAATTCTGGAATTCATTTAACTGATCACAGATAAACTAAAAAGTTTGCAAATTCTGGAACTGAGTACTATCATCTTAGGCTGAAAGAGAGAGGTGAGGTTTTATTGCAGGTTCAGGGTTTTGGAGATACATGTGAGAGGAATATAGAGTTGTATTTTGCTTAGCGCTCTTGCTAAGTGCCTCGAAAGCTAGTTAAAGTTGAATATGTGTGCCTGCTCACCCCCTGCTCCAGGGTACAGTCCTCCAACACCCGGAACAGCACCAGCTCCACCTGCCGCACCTAGACCTAAGACATCCATCCCAAAACAACACATGTAGGATACGTTTACACATTAGCTTTCAAAATGAACATCTCAGATCTCTGTGTGCAGTTCTGTTGTATGCAGGGAAACGTTACCGTATTTAGCTGCTTTGGCTTGAGCTGGTGTAAGACCTTGGAGAAACAGCAGAAGTAAATGTTTTTGAGACTCTTAGGAAATGTTAAATGTTCCAGATCATTGGCCTGGCCTCAAATGAGACAGATTTCTATGATTTGTAGAATGTCCTCATTGGTTTTGTTTTAGCCCAAATTTATGTGACACTGCATCACAGAAAGGGGAGCAGGGTTTTGGCAAGAAGACACCAAAGTACATAATTTCTGTTAGATGGAGAGGTTTGGATTGAGGTTACAGTTAGCATTAGGACAATGCTTTCTTGATAGAAAAGCTGTTCCAGGACCAGTAAAATATAGACTCTGATGCAAGAGCATACTAAAAACAAGAACTAAGTAGAGACATTTTGTACCTCCTGTTGCAGGGTAGACTCCCCCAGCTCCTGGAACAATCCCAGGTCCAGCAGGAACAATCCCAGTCCTACCTGGAACAATACCGGCACCACCAGGAAGAACCCCAGCCCCACCAGGAACTGCTCCTGCACCTGGATAACGGCAAGTGAACACTCAATCTGGGATTCCTAACTTTGTTTCAGGTGTCTTGAGTCCTGATGAAAGAGGACCATTGTTCTACAGAATCTGGCTCTAATAGTGAGCTTTAGCCTGTACTTGCACATGCTTACCATATTTAGCAGCTTTTGCCTGAGCAGGGGAGAGTGCACCAGCACCTACACACACAGGTAAACAACAACAACAAAGATTGATCACTATTATATAACTATAATGAACTGACTATTAGGTGCATTACAAAACTGATAGGGGAACATGATTTTGGCAAGACATCCCTGTTCATAGTAAATCATTTATATCAAACAGTAAGATGGTGAGGTTAGGATTGGAGTCACAGATAGGATTAGGAAAACACTTTCTTGATAGTAACGTTGTTCCAGGACGAATATAAATATACAATCTGAAGTAAACCTCAACGATTGAAATGCATGAGCATCTTAAGGATTTGATCACATTTTTATGTTCAGTTATCTCTCAACAAACATTTTACCTCCTGCTCCAGGGTAAACTCCTCCAGCTCCTGGCAAAATCCCAGCACCACCAGGAAGAATCCCGGCACCACCAGGAACTGCTCCTGGATCAAGGCAGGGCAATGAACACTCAATGTGAAATTCCCAATTTAATATTTCAGGTGTCTTCAGTGCTGGAAGAAGACTGCTACTTTACAGCAGGGGTGTCCAAACCTGTTCTTGGAGATCTACCTTCCTCAACAGTTTAGCTACCACCTTGATCAAACGCACCTGTCTTTAATTACCAAGTGTTCCTTCGGATTCGTCTCAGTTGGTTTAGTTGGGTTTAATTGTGGTTGGAGCTGAACTCTGCGGGAAGGTGGATCTCCAGGAACAGGTTGAGCATCTCTGTTCTACAGAGTCTAGATCTAATGTTAAACTTCAGCCTGTTCATTTCTACTTATTCTAAAGACACTGATTGACTTCTTTGAATGAGTTTGACTTTGGTCATAATTAATTAACACTGGTACATCAGTTAATATGCATGCTTACCATATTTAGCAGCTTTTGCCTGAGCAGGGGAGAGTGCACCAGCACCTTCACACACAGGTAAACAACAACAAAAAAGATGACTATTAGATCATTCTAATAAACTGACAGTCAAGTCTAAAGCATCACAAAAGGGGAACATATTTTTTGCAAGACAACTTTGCTCCTGGTAAATTATTTATGTCAGACAGTGAGATGGTGAGGTTAGAATTGAGGTTGCAGAAGGGTTAGAACAATGCTGTCTCGATAGAACAGATGTTCCAGGACCAATACAAATATAGACTCTGAAGTAAACCTCAAAGATTGAAAATGTACAACAATACTAAGACTTGATCTCATGATGTTCCAAATATCTCTTTAAACCAGGGATGGGCAAACTTGGTCCTTGAAGACTGCTGTGCTGCAGAGTTTTGTTCAAACACTAATCAAACACACTCGAAGATGCTAATCAATGTCTTCAAGATCATTAGAAAGCTTTCAACAGGTGTGTTTGATTATGGTTGGAGCTAAACTCTGCAGAGACACCTGCCTTCCAGGACTGAGTTTGCCCATCATTGCTATAAACAGACTCTTTTGTACCTCCTGTTCCAGGGTAAACTCCTCCTGGCCCAATCCCAGCACCACCAGGAAGAATCCCGGCACCACCAGGAAGAATCCCGGCACCACCAGGAACTGCTCCTGCACCTGAATCAAGGCAGGACAATGAACACTCAGTGTGAGATTCCCAATTTAATATTTCAGGTGTCTTCAGTGCTGTAAGAAGACTGATACACTACAGCAGGGGTGTCCAAATTTGTCCTTGGAGATCTACCTTCCTCAATAGTTTAGCTACACCCTTGATCAAACGCACCTCTCTTTAATTACCAAGTGCTCCTTCAGATTCTTCTTGGTTGTTTTGGTTGCATTTAATTGTGGTTGGAGCTGAACTCTGCAGGAAGGTGGATCTTCAGGAACAGGTTGAGCATCTCTGTTCTACAGAGTCTAGATCTAATGTTGAACTTCAGCCTGTTCATTTTTACTAACTCTAAACATTGATTTATGTTTTGGACGAGCTTGACTTGAGTTGTAATTATATAACACTGGTACATCAGTTAATACACACATGCTTACCATATTTAGCAGCTTTTGCCTGAGCGGGGGAGAGTGCACCAGCACCTTCACACACAGGTAAACAACAACAACAACAAGATTTAGCACTACTATTTCATCATTATAATGAACGTACTGTCAAGTCTATAGCATCACAGAAAGGGAACATTTGAGCAACATTTGATGTTCCAATTATCTCTTTAAGAGAGATATGGTGGGCTGCGGTCCTGCAGAGTTTAGTTCAAACACTAATCAAACACACTTGAACATGCTAATCAGCGTCTTCAAGATCATTAGAAAGCTTTAAACGGGTGTGTTTGATTATGGTTGAAGCTAAACTCTGCAAGTACACCAGCTTTTCAGGACTGAGTTTGCCCATCATTGCTATAAACAGACCCTTTTATACCTCCTGCTCCAGGGTAAACTCCTCCAGCTCCTGGCACAATCCCAGCACCACCAGGAAGAATCCCGGCACCACCAGGAAGAATCCCAGCACCACCAGGAAGAATCCCAGCACCACCAGGAAGAATCCCGGCACCACCAGGAACTGCTCCTGCACCTGGATCAAGGCAGGGCAATGAACACTCAATGTGAGATTCCCAATATAATATTTCAGGTGTCTGTAAGTAGACTGTTACTCTACAGCAGGGGTGTTCAAGCCTGTTCCTGGAGATCTACCTTCCTGCTGAGTTTAGCTGCAACACTGATCAAACGCACCTGTCTTTAATTACCAAGTGATTACCTCCTTTAGATCCTACTTAAGCCATGGCCACACTGCACTTGTTGCCTAATGGACTTCCATTCATGTGTATGCTAATGTGTCAGACTGGAAACAACAAGTTTCCCAATTCACTGTTTTCCAAAGTTTGAGCTTGGTGACCTCTGACCTGTGAAATCGCATCACGTGATTGCATAAGACCAATCGAAGATCTAAACATGACCTCTCTGTACAGAAATTTAAAGTATGGACCGATCGCTAGTTTTCATAAAGGTCTAATCACCCCTTTTCACAGTGCCGTACAACAGAATCTCACATGCTCAAACTCTAGTGTGACCGCAGCATTAGTTGGTTTGGTTGAGTTTAATTAGGGTTGGAGCAGAACTATGCAGGAAGGTAGACCTCCAGGGGAAGGGTTGATCATCTCTGTTCTGCAGAGTCTGGATCTAATGGTGAGTTTAAGGCTGTCCCTTTCTACTAATTCTAAAAGCATTGATTGCCTTCTTTGAATGAGTTTGACTTTGATCATAATTAATTAACACTGGTACACCAGTTAATATGCATGCTTACCATATTTAGCAGCTTTTGCCTGAGCGGGGGAGAGTGCACCAGCACCTTCACACACAGGTAAACAACAACAACATAAAGATTGATCACTACTATATCATCATTATAATGAACTGACTGTCGAGTCTAATGCATCATTAAGACAGACATCCAGATGGTGAGGTTAAATTGAGGTTACAGTTAGGATCAGAACAATGTTTTCCTGATAGAAAAGCTCTGAAGACTCTGAAGAAAACCTCAAAGATTGACAATATAGGCTGTACTAAAACCTTGATCACATTTGTTGTTCCAAATATCTCATTACATCTTCTGGTTCGTTTTACCTCCTGGCGCAGGATAGACTCCTCCAGCTCCTGGCACAATCCCGGCCCCACCAGGAAGAACTCCAGCACCACCAGGAAGAACTCCAGCACCACCAGGAAGAACTCCAGCACCACCAGGAACTGCTCCTGGATAAAGGCAGGACAATGGACACTTAATCTGAGATTCCCAATTTTATGTTTCAGGTGTCTTAAGTCCTGCTGCAAGAGGACTATTGTTCTACAGAGTCTAAGTCGAACAGTGAGCTTTATCTTGTACTTTTAACTAAAGACATTTATTGGCTTGTTTAGGTAAGATTAACTTGAGATGTAATTAAGTAACCCAGGTATATCAGTAAATACACATGCTTACCATATTTAGCAGCTTTTGCCTGAGCGGGGGAGAGTGCACCAGCACCTTCACACACAGGTAAACAACAACAACAAAGATTTAGCACTACTATATCATTCTAATAGACTGACTGTCAAGCGGTTTTTGGCAAGACATCCTTTTTCCTAATAAATCATTCATCTTAGACAGTGAGAGGGTGAGGATAGGACTGAGGTCACAGATGAGAATAGGATAATGTTGTCTCGATAGAAAAGCTGTTATAGGACCAATAAAATAGACTCTGAATTACATGTTAAAGACTGAAAATGTAAGACATTACTAAAACCATAAACACATTCTGTTGCTCCAAATATCTTTTTATATACTTTTATATCTTTTTTTACCTCCGGGTGCAGGGTAGATTCCTCCAGCCCCACCAGGAAGAACTCCAGCGCCACCAGGTAGAACCCCAGCCCCACCCGGAACTGCTCCTGCTCCTGGATCAAGGCAGGACAATGTTTACTTAATTTGAGATATTCTACAGCACAGGTGTCAAACTCAGGTCGAGGGCCGCAGCTCTGCACAGTTTAGTTCCAACCCTAAGTAAACACACCTGGTCAAACTAAATGAGTCCTTCAGGCTTGTCTAAAACAAGTATGTGTGTTGGAGCAGGGTTGGAACTAAACTGTTCAGGACTATAGCCATCCAGGAACTAAGTTTGACACTGCTGTTCTACAAAGTTTAGCTCTAGCGGTGAGCTTCAGCCAATACGTTTCTACTAATCCTAAAGTCATTGATTAGCTTGTTTAAATGTGTTTGAGTTGGGTTGTAATTAAATAACCCTGCTCTATCAGTTAATATGCATGCTTACCATATTTAGCAGCTTTTGCCTGAGCGGGGGAGAGTGCACCAGCACCTTCACACACAGGTAAACAACAACAACAACAACATTTAGCACTATTATATCATTCTAATAAACTTACTGTCAGCTCTAATGGCACTGATTTGTATCTCACCTCCTACTCCTGGCCCAGGAAACAGTCCACCTGCACCTGGTAGGCCACCAATCCCAGTAGCACCAGGGACAGCACCTAGGAAAACAACCAAAATTAATTAAGCAAAAAAAAAAAACATCTGCCACAGAACAAGTTCTGTCTAAATATGAAGAGATAAGAATGGAAGCAAAGCAATAAACCTCATAGTACACCAGGTTAATCAGTCGGTGTACTCACCATATTTAGCTGCCTTAGCTTGTGCTGGTGTAAGACCACCTGTACCTGTTCAGAAAAAAAGGATTAAGGATCTAGAAAGGCAAATAGAGCTTCTGATTTACCTTTGAGGTTTATTTTATTTGTAATAGACCAACCTATCCCAGCAACCCCAATCCCATTCAAGAGGGGAAGTTGCAGACAACTAAAGGAAAATGCATCCTCACCTACTGCGCCAGGGTAAAATCCACCAGCACCACCAGGAAAGGCTCCAGCTCCACCTAAACCAGCACCAACACCACCAGGAAAGGCTCCAGCTCCACCTAAACCAGCACCAGCACCTGCAGAAATATGAAGTGAACCATTACCAAACATCCTAATGTCCCTGTCTGACCGATATATTGGGTTTGTGATTTAATTTAATACCATATTTACCATATTTAGCAGCTTTGGCCTGTGCAGCAGAGACCCCTAAAGAGCCCACACCTGCATACAGGGACAGCAGGTCAGCCACAGGTCATGCATTTGCTGTGCTCATGTGTGTCTGCTGTGCAGCCGTGCTGAGTAACATGGTCATTTCAGTATCTTTGCCATTTTCATCATCAAGCCTGTACATTCAGTACATTACACTGCAGTAATGCATCTGCACTCTCAGAAACACAGGATGGGGTGGTACCTTTTCAAATTTGCTCCTAAAAGATCCATTTTAATACCTCAAGGGGACATATTAGTACCTAAAAAGCACAAAAGTGTCCCTCTTAAAATGTGTAAGTACTAATATATACTTTTGAGGTAGCAATATGGACCCTTCAAGTCAGTAGTATCTGGATGCAGCCTTTATGATGCAAGCTGAGATTGCATCACTCAGCGATGCAATGTCAGACACAATGCACTCAATGGAGTGAGTCACATCACTGTGACGGGTAGGGTTAGGGACGGGGTTAGGTGAGCGCATTAAATTAAGCATTAGATGCATCTCAGATTGCATCTGCACCAGGTCTGCATTCAGACTCCTCTCCCTCAAGTACAAATGTGGACTTTTTGCCACCCCAGTGACAGCATGTGTACCTTTATTTCTGAGAGTGTGGGGTAAAATTGGAAGTGTTTATTACATGCTATGATAGATTCACCCTCTAGTATATTACAATTGTTCGTATATGATTGTTCAGATAACACACCAGTCCCTGTTGGATAACCAGGCTTGGAGCCAGCTCCTGCTTTCCCACCAGGGAGTCCAGCACCTCCACCAAAGCCACCATAACCTTTGGCAGAGCAGGTGAAAATCAGCAGACAATACTCATGGTACTATGCACATGCATAAACTCAAGACTGCAGCCTACCATATGGAAGTTTACCCCCAGTGTACGGCAAGCCAGCACCTGTTGACACAAGTGACACTAATGATACTTTGTGCTATCAGATTGATTGCATGCTTGTCAGTGCTATGCGCATCAGTAACGCTTGGTGTGAAGTAAGCCATGGCCTGTATTAGAACAAAACCGCTGCTGATAAATCTGCTAACATTAGGATGATGAAGAGCCGGGTTATTTCAGCTGAGCTCACTCTCACACAAAGTGAGCACTCAATTTGGCCACACATTTTTTATCAACAGTGTATCCTGTATTTATCAGAACAAATATGCACGTTTGGAAAAGCTGTGTTCCACTAGAGGCTCACATATTAATACCGCAATCAATTTCTTCTAATTGCACTGGAAGAATTCCTAGTCCGTGATTAAGGCTGATAGTGCACTGATAAGAAAGACGTGAAAATATGGATTTCAAGCTTCAAACGGACACATTTAAGAAAATATAATAAAACTGCAACTATGAACTCTGTTAAGGCACTTTCCCAAGTGAGGAGTCACTTCCCAGAGAGCACATTGTCAATCTGGGGTTAGTGCTTGAATCGAATTAATTGAGCTCTTCAACTGTTGAACCTGCACGCAGGAGAAATCCCACAATGATTCTGTGCAGCGCTGAGCAATGTGCTGCATAAATGGATGACCAGCCATGCGAGTCTAAACAGTGATCCAATAAAGCTGGATTTCATTTGGAGTGTTTGATGAAAGACATTCTTGCTTATGTCTATCAGCCTCCTGTTGCTTTGCTTAATAGCTGCAAAACCTCAAACGCAATCATTCTCCTATTGCTTCCTTTATTGGGTGCTAAAGCTGGGCTGAACCCGATTGTTGCAGTCTGATCAAAAGAACTCCACCTGGGGCCTTGGGAGATTTGAGGGGGTATCCGTGAAACACTCCTTGCTGCAGTGGTCCACCAAACGGCCCGCGCCCACCTACAACAAAATATAAAATCAGCCAGATCAGATTTGCAAGCACTCATTTATCAATCTGTTTATAGTTGTGTGGCCGTGTACTAACCAGCACCTGGTACCAGTCCCTGCCCTCCACCTGCAGCTATGGGAATGATACAGTCAGTCATTTCGGCATGTGATAGTGCATTTTAGAATGTCTGGAAGGACTAATGTGATTTTCTTTTGCATATTGACCTGATTTAGGTTTGAGTCCAGTCCCCGTGGCTACACCAGGAAGAACACCTCGTCCATTGAAGCCTGTCATCATCAAAGAGATCAAGATCAGAGAATATTGCAGGAACCTCTGCAGATTGGCAAACATGATCTTCATATATGATGATCACGAGGTTTGACATTGATAAAGATATCTGAGGCCAGTACTTTAATTTTTTTTCTATGCCTGTGTAATGGAGGGCAGCTAGTAAGTGCTGTGCAGGTAAAGCTCACTCCTCTGACCTCTAAATCTGCTCTAGCGACAGATGATGGTCTTTAGACTCCTGGGTAGAGCAGCCGACTCTCATGCAGAAGGTTTCTGGTTTGATACCAGCTCGGAGCAGGTTAGGTGGCATAGGACTGGTGGGATTACATTAGTGCCGTGACCCGGATGGGAGTGAGGTTTAGGGCGGTGAGTGTAACGGAGGCCAGCTAGTGAAGTGCTGTGCAGGTAAACCTCACACCTCTGACCTCTAAAGGTGCTCTAGCTACAGACACTAGAGGCCATGGTCTTTAGCCTCCTCATTAGAGCAACTGACTCCTATGCAGAAGGTCGTCGGTTTGATCCCAGCTCGGAGCAGGATAGGTGGCAAGGACCGTTGGGGTTACACCTGAATCAGAGCATAAGTCTCTGCTATGGCCTGTTTTCTCCTTAAGGTCAACTGCTGCCATGGAGAAGGCTTGAATCTTGCAGAGAAATTTAAGGAACTTCAAGTTAATTTTATCTATTTCCCATTTTCATTTATTCATTCATTCATTCATTTTCTTTTCAGCTTATTCCCTTCATTATTCTGGGGTCACCACAGCAGAATGAACCACCAACTTATCCAGCACATTTTTACGCAGCGGATGCCCTTCCAGCTGCAACCCATCTCTGGGAAACATCCACACACACTCATTCACACACACAGTCATACACTAACAGTGTAGCCTACCCAATTCACCTGTACCGCATGTGTTTGGACTGTAAGGGGAAACCGGAGCACCCGGAGGAAACCCACGCGAACGCGAGGAGAACATGCAAACTCCACACAGAAACACCAACTGACCCAGCCGAGGCTCAAACCAGCGACCTTCTTACTGTGAGGCGACAGCACTACCTATTTCCCATTTTCTAACTAAATAATCCAATACACAAGCTGAAAGTAACATGGAAAACCCCTTTGTGCTTAAATCTGTAGGTTTGCACATTATTGGATATGTTTCAGAACTGTGTTCATTCACAGAGTTATGCTTATCAGCACATAACATGTGAAAGACATCTGAAGCTGAGCTCCCTTTGGTCATATAAAGAGGGGAGAAATAAACCTTGTCCAGGAAGTCCTCCTTGATATGGTCCAGGTACTCCCACTCCTGTAACAAATACAAAGCAGAAAGCTGATCACCGATATATAACATTTAATCAGATGCTCTCACTGTTCACTTTATCAGGTGGATCTTGTTAATACAGGTTGATCTCACTGCAATTAAATATACAATATAGAAATCCTACAATACTCTAAAATCTTTGAACGCTGGTTTGAGATGTTCTCCAGCAACCTATCAATACTGCTTCCCTTCAATGACACTTTCAGACACTTTCCTCCAGTGTGACTTCTCTTATGAAGAACGTCAGACCAAGAATGATGCAATCAGTGCAACAGCTGTAAATCTCCTCAGGGAAATGTCAAAAAAGCTCTTTTCTGGTTTTATTATCTAGGAATAGGATAGGTTAACGCTACCAATGCTGCATGGTTGCTAGTCGTTGTATCATATGAGTCAACTCCAGATGAGTCTCGCATGTGTCTTGATCGTTATTCAGTCTGAAATCAATGTGGGGTAACATGAGGATAAAGTTTGCACAGTCTGACCATGCGATCGTAAAAGATTATTAAAAAACACACAGCATGAGGCAGGATTTAGTCCCACAGTTGCTGCATATTTGTGGTCTGTTCATCCTTGAAGTAAATCTTCCCGTTCACATGCATCCCACCTTATTGTGTTAAGATCTGGAGGCCCATAGGAGTATTCTGGACTCATTGTCAGATTGAGATTGTTTAAGCTTTGCAATAATCCAGTGTTATCCTGCTGAAATAGTAATAAACTGGTTATCAGAAAACAACACTCAGGTGTTTAAACACTACTCGATTGCTCAAAGTGTGCCAAGAAGGTGATTACACCATGGAAGCAACTTGAATGATTGATTCAAGACCGGATGAGCCCATGTCCATGTGTGTTGTTTATGTCAAATTCTGGCTCCACCATCTGAACGCTGCAGCAGAAATGAAGACTCATTAGCACAGGTAGTCTTTTGGCAGTCTTCTATTGTCCAGTTCTGATGGTGTGTACAGTGCATGTGTGCTCTTCAGTGGCTGCAGCCCATTTCCTTCTATAAATCCCATTCTTCAGGAGATTGTCTTGACTTGTCCAAATGTATTGGATTTCTTCCATGTAATTGACTCTGTAGACATTTGGGTTAACATGTCATTTATAAAGCGTTGAAGTTGTCAGACTTACCCGGCACTGGTGCTTTTCCAGCCTTTGCTGCTTTCGCCCCAGGTCCAACTCCACCAGGACCCAGTCCTTGTACACCGGTCTGAGGAATGCCAAGGCCTAACAAACAATGCAAAGACTACCCCATTACAGACTGGACTGTTACTGATGTGGACTTTATTTGTGCAAATGTTAATGTAGCTTTACTGCACCTGGGAGTCCAGTACCAGCTCCTCCAACACCTGGCCCTGGAGGAGCACAAACACACACACACACACACACACACACACACACAATCAGTCAACTGCATCAACAAACTCACTGAATGCAAGACTACAGAACCCATGTGCTTTTACAATGAATTTGCCTCACTTGCTCCGTCCATCTGACATGAAACAAGCCCTATCTGATTTCAGTGCCTGGAAGCTGATATTTCAGGCTGTTCCCTTATTTGTTTAACCCTTTTCCAACCGATATCAAACACAGAGGAACAGACATTTCATGCTGCTTTTAGATTGTGCCAAGGACACGCTGAAGTAATGTGCTGGCCTTGCTTACACGAACACCACCAGCAGGGTCCCAGAGGGGACACGTTTGTTGAATTGGCTCACGATCTAAGGCTCCTTAATTCAAGTTAAAGCCAACTGGACTACCATGAAAAGAGCCTTAGTCATGTGAACATGGGCAGACTAATATATTTGTAAAAGGTGTTAAAAACGAACATGTGTGTTTTTACTTCATGAATAAACAGAGATCAACTTCTTCCTATCCAATTCCCCTCTAAATGTTTTTCTCTGAACTATGTTTCATTTAGAAAGAGTTGGAGACAATGGACATATATTACCACCTTTGGGGGGCTTTCCACCAGCACCTGAAACAAGAGAATCCGATTTAGAAAACATTTGTGCAGCTTTTGTTACTTAGACACTAAGAAAACCGAAAATGTCAGCAGAATGGCACCTCCAGGAAGACCACCTCCAGGCAGAACTCCTCCAGGCAGAACTCCTCCAGGCAGAACTCCTCCAGGCAGAACTCCTCCTGGCAGAACTCCTCCTGGTAGCCCAGCTCCTAGAGGGAAACATGAATGCTCATATTAATGCTCAATTACTATTTTCCATATAAACTTTGCTGACTGTTCATGGAATGAGCACCTGATTTAGCTGGTTTCAGACCTCCAGCCATTGGGTAGAATCTTCCAGCACCACCATATCCACCATAACCCCCATATCCACCTACAGCCAGAGAGATATGTAGCAACAGATTCAAAGAAAATCTACCTCCGCCCTCGAATGACTTAGACTGTCAATGCTAAGGGCTGATTTAGCAACAGGACAGGGAGGGAAGGAATGAGAAAACAAAAGAAAAGAAAGTTGAAAGAGAACGAGGCTAACGGTGAATCTTTTTGGCTGAGCAAATGAGGAGTTAGGCTCCATTGAGAATTATTGCTACATCGCGTCCTCCTTCGACATGGAAACGCTAAACAAATGAGGTTGCAAAGCTTGCATTCCTATTTTATAGCGGAGGGAGGAACACAGGAATGGAAAGGATGTGCAGTAAATGCTTTGCTTGTCAATCTTTCTTTTGCCTTGTTGCCAATAGAAATCTAAGAGCACTGTAGATTTAAAGATTCAAGAATCCTGATATTCTGACACACAGATATGAGATTTTTGTCTAATACAATTAATAATCTTGCTGATAATCTTGAACAACAGATCATTTAATTAGGCAATATCTCTTTAATCTAATATGGAAGCGTTTTAACCTGCAGTTCATTAACTCGCCACTAGAGACTGAAGAGTCAAGTGAAGAGACTCCCCATGGTAAACTGCCCAACATCTTTTAGCCTAGTACACAAATACAGTAGCTCTACTTTTGCCCTCCATGACAACTGTAAGAAAGGGGGTTAATTGTATTAACAGACTATCCAGGTCTGAGCTCCATTTTTAATTAACCCTCCTATTATACTTGGGGTCGATTTGACCCTATTTAATGTTTAACGCATGTGCATGTGTAGCTGACATTGTTCTTTTGCTCCAGATTGAGTGACTTTTCCTAATTTAATGGGGAAAACTTGGTGAACATAATATTAACAAGATATCTATTTTTTTCAATGCCCTGTACAAATTTTGCAACATCTGTGTTCCTCGGGGTCAATTTGACCCCAGGGTTTTTTTGCTGTGTAAAACATAAGAAATATAAATAGCCAGATAGCCAGACGGGTGCGTCTGCCATTAGTGAATGCACTCCCTGGTTTCCCGATGTCAGACAGCACACCTCCCTCCAGCGCTGCGATGACTGCTGAAGAAGAGCAGCTCTTGCTGATCAACACACAGACAGCTGGAATATATTATAATCAGCTCCCTCTCCTCTCTCTAAAGCCCAGCATGCATGAAGGCTATTGAAACATATCTCTGCCCACTGACAGAAGCAAGAATACATGCGTTTAGGAATCGATGCTGAAAACCACCAGCAAAACTTTAAGTTAGATCCCATTATTTCAACACAATGCCCTGCTTGGCAGATATCGTTGGGACTGAAATGATCAGTGTTATTGTGAAGTATTGTTCAGAGCTCCTGAGTAGAACAGCATCAGGATCCTTGCTGTTGTTGGTCTAGGATAACCCAGATAACTTAAACTACATGGAAATGAGGATGTAGTCTTGTTCATTCGCTGACCCTGACTCACGGAGAGTTGCCAAATAACCATCATTGCACTGCAGCTACACAAACAGCTCTACAGCGCATCTCCAGAACTTGGTTTTGGGGGTGTAATCTTTTACTTTATGAGGTACAATTCCCCAGCGTGGCTGATAGTGGAAACTTTTTACAGTGTATGAGATGGGCTTTCTTTATTCGAGCAAGACTTGAGTTCTGACAGCCAGGCATCGCACCGTTCTGTGATTGTAACTGTCTGGTTTTTGTCTGGATTTATCAAGATGATGGAGACGGCAGCATGTCTTGAGTTTTCGAAGCTTGTGGCTATCCAGCCTGTCTTGTGCTCAGGCATGAGGTTGTAGTTTTGGGTGGCAATTATCTGAATGGCTGGTGTAAACACATTCCATATGAGAAAGACCCATTCTGCGGTGAATTCTCTGAAGAAGAAACACAGCTCGAGCAGAGTCCAAACGAGGGGCGGGTTGTTAAAAGCAGCAGATAGAGGGAGTCAGAAGAGCAGGACTGCAGCCGAATACACAGACCCCCTCCGCCCCTCTGCCCGTGCCCAGAGGAGCAGCTGGACAAGCCTGAAGATTTAATTTAAGAGAGCAGAGAATTCTGTGGCCCTCGTCCATGTGACTGACGGCAACTGCAGTGAACCGACTACAGCATCCTGGAACTCAAATGGCATGGAGTTCCTGTGAGAGTGTTGGAAGGATCTCAGACCCAATTCTTTCCAAAGACCTGTGGGCTTGAGATAGCTTGTGAACCCACTCAAAGAGAGAACAGAGCAAAGGCATGCACGGTCCTTTCCTGTTCGCATGACAAAGAAAACAGACAGTTCTTCTGTTTGATGCTCCAAGAATGACATCAACAAACACATTCAGCTTAGTAGCCAGAAGGAAAGTGTGGTGTAAGCTGTTTCAGCTTCAGACGGAGGATCGCTGATGGTTGGCAAATGGCCTCTCGAGGTTTACATCCAGATTCATGAAAGGTTGCATTCTATGTGCATTCCTACGCTGCAAAATTAGGTCAACTCCCTGCCACATGTGGCTGTTTATATTTCTGAAGAGATCATCCAACTGCACAATCCCTTCTGCAGACGCAGCATGCTGTAGGGAAGCTGGGGTTGCATCTGGTTCATAGGCTGCCTAAGGTGAATGTGTAGAAGAGACATCATAAGGACATCCGGCAACCGTCCAAACCATAAAACACTCACCCCTGTGTTGTGGCAACAGAAGAGCTTTTGTTTCAAACCTACATGTTGGTATTTTCCTGCTGCGGAGACTCTCTAACGTTGTTCATTGTGTTTCATGCTTCAGAACTGCAGCTTTGTCTCATTTTGCAGGATCGGCCATCATTTATTCAGCTCAAACTGGACTAACCTGTTTGTTTCTAACCTGGTCTTTCACTTATTCCTACCCTGTATGACTTCATTTATGTCATGCGGAAGTTCTTAAAGAGAACAAGGCGTATAAGAGGATGCCATAATCACTTAATAATGCCTTAATAACTATTAACAAGCAGTATAAGTCATAGGTAATGGTTTATTTAAACTGATAATTGTATCTTAAAATAAAGTGTGTCCCATATATGATGTTAAACATAACATTCTTGCACTCTGACATCAAAATGTTTATGCAGGTTTTATGACAAAAGGCCCCCGGGCGAAGCAACATCTGCTTCTGTCAAGTTTTGTTTTTGTCCAGAAATATGCCATAAACACCTTCAATCCACATCTTCTCACGTAAGCATATCGCCCCCGCATGGGTTCACAGAACAGTCTGAGCTGGAACCTACAGCTTGATCATTTGCTTCTAATATTTATCACATCTGAAAGAAAAGTATTGTGCAAATCAAAGTCAAAAATGTCAATGCGAGCGCCAACTGCGGCGGTCTGATCAGTCGGTGATGCGTGAAACATGTCCCAGATGGCTCACATATGCATGGGGTTTGTGCACGCTGAATACTTCTCTGACAACTCAGGGCTGAGATATGATATGACCGATAAACAGAGCTCACACAAGCTCTCGCAGCCCTGCAGATCTCAGAGCACTTTCACGTTATGAAGATCAGTAGATGCAGAGCAGAAATAAAGCTTTCAGAAGGGGATTTTCAATATAGCTGAGCATTAATTTCTCAAAATTAGCATTATATTACTGATAAATGTATTTATCAAAACTGCCTAGTCTTCATTAAAGTCTGTCCAGTTTGCAAAATAAGAGTTATACATCATTGTGATGAATATGTACATACACAGAAGGTATAACACAAGCTCAGATGAACAAACAAAAGGGGGAAATGAGTACTGCTGTAATCTCATTAAGAAATGTTGCGGCCAATCAAATCAAAGCCTGGGCCATGCATATTAATGACCCCATGTGCATTATCAGTCAGTTTTTTGTTCCTATTGGTGTGTAGTTCACATGTTACCCATGAGATTTACATGAGAACGAGGAAACAATGGTGTTTGAGACTCACTGATTACAATGTCCATGTACTCCCTGCTGAAAAATCCAGCTTAAACCAGCCTAGGCTGGTTGGCTGGTTTTAGCTGGTTGACCAGCCTGGTTTAAGAGGGGTTTTGGCCATTTCCAGTCTGGTCTTAGCTGGTCAGGCTGGAAAATGACCAGCCAAATCCAGCTAAAACCAGCTTGACCAGCCTGGTTTAAGCTGGATATAGCTGGTTTTGGCTGGGCTCCCAACTTGGCTAGGCTGGTCAAGCTGGTTTTAGCTGGTCATCTTCCAGCCTGACCAACTAAGACCAGGCTGGAAATGGCTGGAAACCAGCTTGGAAGTGGTCAAAACCCCTCTAAAACCAGCCTGGTCGACCAGCTAAAACAAGCCAACCAGCCAAGGCTGGTTTAGGCTGGATTTTTCAGCAGGGCTGAACTCTTATTAATCAGCTATGTCTAGGTACATCCAGATCTTCAATACATGGCACCTTTTAGGCATTTATAAAGGCAAAAGGGAGTTCAACCCAGTTCCTTAACAAGGAATAAATCAGAGTGTATGTAGTGCTAACAGACTGAGTACCTTATTTAAAACATGGTACACTCTCGGAAATAAAGGTACTGAGCTGTCACCGGGGTGGTTCCTTTTCAAAAGGTACACATTTGTACTTAAAAGGTCCATATTGGTACCTCAAAAGCATAAATTAGTACCTAAAAATTTCAAGAGGAACACTTTTGTATTTTTTAAGTACTAATATGTACCCTTGAGGTATTAATATGGACCTTTTTGGTACAAATTTGTACTCTTTGAAAAGGAACCACCCCGGTGACAGCTCCCGTACCTTTATTTCTGAGAGTGTAGAGTAACAGTAAAAACGAAAATGACCACAGCGTATGTATAAGCATTGAAAGTGAATGGCCAACGTGCATGCACAAGGCAGTGTTGTGGTGATGTCAGGTGCTCTGTGGCACGCTTTAGAAATGGGAAAAGCATCACCAAGAGCAAGTCCTTAAAAACTGTATTTGGGGAGTAACCCAGTCTCCTGATGACATTACTGCTGTTTCCCTGCCTAATTTATTGCTTCCACATTGCATGGAGGCATTAAGGATCTGTTGCCTGTTTATTTACGTTGCTGTTTCCTCCAGTATCGGCTTCCAGATTCATGCTTCATCCATGTATGTGTCACTGAAGGAATCTCTGCCTTGTCTTGTTATACGCTAAATCACACTCTACATGTAGAGCAGGGCTATAATGATGAGAACATTGTGGTGGAAGGCATTCGGGTTTTGCATTCGCACTTTCCCAAGCAGTTGCGCAAGACTCCTAACTTGATCTCCATCTTAAAAACGTTCATCTGCAACACGTCCCAGCGTAAACAAAGCAGCGTACGGTCAGGAATGAGAACGAGCTCCAGGGGTCTGTTTGCAAACTGGACAAACGCAGGGTGTTCGTGTGGACTGGAGGATGGTCCATTATTCACAATCAGAGGCAGAGTGTGTGTTTGAGGACAGGTCTGCTGGTGCTAATCAAGAGCAGATGTGCTCCACAAGACTCTGCTCGGCTCATCTGCTGGCCCACAGCCCTCATTCTCTCCGCTTTACCCTTCTTTCAAGGCTGAACACAAACTGGCTCCTCAACATAGGAACGCAAAACCTGACATACTTCTGCAGGGCTGTGCTGCTCCGGTTTCTGTACAGATGAAAACAATTGGAGGTCTGGGGCGTATTACAGAAGGTTTCCTAGCTTAGCTTTAGCTTATCATCATACATTTGTGTTGCAGAAGCAAATATTCACTTGACGAAATCCCGTCTTATCTCTAGTTAGGCGTGCTTGAATTGTGTCGTCAAGTTCCTGCTGATATGTTAGCCTGAACAAAATATCTGGTGATGCTCTGTGCTGGTGTCTGTGGTTCTTCAGCAGGTCCTGTAATGACTGTAATATCATGCTGGGCAGCACACTTAATGTTTGGTCATGTAAATATAACATCTTCAGAGTCCTGCAAGAGTGTTTCTAACATTAAAAATCATTCTTGGGATGTAGGTAGTGCTGTCACTACAGCATAAAGGTCGCTGGTTTAAACTCCAGCTGGGTCAGTTGGTGTTTCTGTGTGGAGTTTGCATGTTCTCCCTGATGTTCGCGTAGGTTTCCTCCTGGTGCTCTGGTTTTCTTCACAAGTCCAAACACATGCGCTATAGGGGAATTGGGTAGGCTAAATTGTCCTTAGTGTATGAGTGTGTATGGTTGTTTCCCAGAGATGGGTTGCAGCTGGAAGAGCATTCGCTCCATAAAACATATGCTAGATAAGTTGGCGGTTCATTCCACTGTGGTGACCCCAGAATAACAAAGAGACTAAGCCGATAAGAAAATGAATGAAGTCTTGTTTGCCACTCATTCCTCGTCGTCTGCAATCTAACACACTGCAAAAAATCCTTTTCTTGCTTAAATTTTTTGTCTTGTTTCTAGTCTAAATATCTAAAATTTCTTATATCAAGAAGCATTTTCTAGACAAGCAAAACATGTCGTCTTGCTTTGAGAAAAAATATGCCAATATTAAGTGAGTTTTTCCTTAAAACAAGCAAAATAATCTGCCAATGGGGTCAGCAAATTAATCTTGTTTTTTCTTTTGACGTAAGATTATTTTCCTCACCCCATTGGCAGATTATTTTGCTTGTTTTAAGGAAAAACCCACTTAATATTGGCATATTATATCTTAAAACCAGACTATATGTTTTGCTTGTCTAGAAAATTCCTCTTGATTTAGGAATTTTTAGATATTTAGACTAGAAACAAGACTAAAAATCTAAGTAAGAAAAGCATTTTTTGCAGTGCAGTGAGATTCTGAGATCTTCCTTGAAGAAAGCGTCCCGAGTGTCAGCCCTGCATGGTAACTGTTTGTGACAGGAGTCTGCAGTTGGTCCAGGGTTTGAGCAGAATGAGGCTCTGTGTGCACCTTAGCTTCAGGCTCTGCTTTAGCGGACGCTTTCCAAACAGCGCCCTGCCCAATCTCAGATGATGACAGCTCCTACAATCAGCTCTGTTTCACAGCGGTGCGGAGCCAAACACTGACTCACATCAGCCGTCATCTGCCTTTATTAAACACCAGGTATTGTTTGCTACACTGGCTGTTCACAGCATGTAAAGAGTGACACTGTTCAGCCCTGTCTGTGACGGTTTATAAGGAGGCTCCAGTAGGGTATCTGCACAGGGACTCTTTCTTTCTGAATAAGCCGCTCAGGTGCTTCTGGTGCTGGTGAACTCGCCACGGTCAAGATCTGGTTTCTTTAAAAATCAGTGATCTGCACTGCCTGATTGAGATTATAGAAAGTGGGTTTCACAGCGGACAAGCAGCACTGTGTTGAATTATTGTTCTGTGTCAGGTCTGGGAGTTTACTACAGTATTTCCACTGGAGTTTCCTGCTGCGCTCGACTGCGCTTGTGTTTAATCGGCTTTCACTTCATTGTTACACTTGAACAGTTAAAACTGAAGTCTGTTTAAAGAGCTATATTTGATGTAGAGTTTGTCCAAACGCTGAACTGTGAGCTCCATCTAATCCAATCTGATGTGAAATACAGTGTAATCTGAGCCTGTGCTCCGGCAGATCAGCTCAACGCAGGCCTGGGCTCTGCTTAACCTCAGACCTGCTCAGTGTTTCTACCTCAAAGATGAAAAGCCGGAGATTAGACAATTATCTCCACCTTCACTGCGGCCAAACACAACTTCCACCGCAAAATCTGATATGGAGGAGTTTCGGTTTCAGAGAGAAACGCTCGTTCTGTGCGCAGCTCCAGAGTTTATCGAGCCGGCCTGCGTTTGTTTAATCCCTTATCTCTGCAAACACGACTCTGGATCTGCACGGCTTTAGGAAATTCAATTAAAGCTGAACGCTGCTAATAGTGCTCGCTTCGACAGAGAAGGCAACAATATTTACATTACAGTATCAGAATGAGTCCAGTCGCACTCACCAGGCGCCAAGATTTCCACTTATTGTAATGCTGGAGTTCCAATAACACAATCTGATGAAAGCATTGTTTGATAGCGCTGATGTAAGTTTACTGAAATCTGCAGCTCACACGCTCCAAAAAGAGCATTCTCACAGGTGGATATTAACTTATTTTTCAAACACAGATTCTTCATACTGGATTGATGCTCTGTTAGGGTTTATTACTTGTCTTACATGCTTCAAGACGCTTCCCACCAGCTCCTTATATGTGACTCTGAAGCACAAGAGCAGTCTTTGCTGCATGGGTATATTGTTGGCAGTAGTTATAACACCTGTATGGGGCAACATTTCCTTTTATATGCCAAAAATCATTAGGAAATTAAGCGGTATCTTCATGGAACATGCTAACCACTGTGCCACCGTGCCACCCATCTAGGAAAGGAGGAGGAGTAGTGGTGGAAGGGGGGATTCTTCAAAATGAAGATGTGAGTGATATGGAGCTGAGGGTATTTATAGTGGCTTAGGAATCGTCTGATTGAGGAATCATAAGTTGGATAATGCAGGACCAGCTGTGATCAATCATAAACATGTGATCCTCTCGACATTACTTTATAAACAAACTAAATCTCAGTAAAGATATTTATATGTTATTGTTACTAAATATTTCTATTTTTTGATGTTGTTTTGAAAGTAATGTGCTGTGGAACTAGAGAGTATACAGTACATGATTGTGACATTATGGTATATACTGAAGAACTCATTTCTCCATAGTACCACTATAGTAAAGATTTGAGATTACAGTGGCATGCGATAATTCTGACAGGCAGTTCTCCTGCAGATCAGAGTAATGGATTGTCTGATGTTAAAGAGCTCTTACCGGCTCCGTATCCTCCGGCTCCTAAAGCCCCGGCTCCAGCAGCTCCTCCATATCCTCCTGCTGAACCACAGACAGATCCATCAACACCCACAGCACTACTGTCCAGAGCTAACAGCACACAACACGCGCACAGACTCCAGCGACGGACACACGCCAGACCTTGACTTTTAGGACTGTTGTATGAATGACTGCTGAAGTCTGTGAGTAAACACACTTCAGAGTCGGCGAGCTGATACTAAAAACCTGACCTGAACTCTTATCCAACTGATGTGATCAACAGATGTAGCAGAAAACAACACTGCAGAAGTAAAATAGAATAATATAAATAAGATAGAAAATTTGAATGCAGTTTTACGGTGCAGAATTAAAAATAAATTTAATTTTAAAAAATAAAATAAAATAATAATAAATTAATAAAAATAATAATAAATAAAATAAAAAAAATTTAAATAATAAAATAAAATAAAAAAATAAAATAAAAAATAAAAAAATTATAAAAAATAAAAAAATAAGAAAATAAAATAATAAAATAAAATAAATACCATAGATAAAACAAAACAAAACAAAACAAAAAATAAATGAAATAAAATGAAATAAAATAAAACAAGGCAAAATAAAAAATATGCATCAGCTTACATTTTTGGTCAGGGTATGTTTTGTTGCACATTTCAGATGATAAGTCTACTAGATTGCACCTTCACTAAACCCAACCAATAGTGTTTTCAGTGTTAGAGAAAACTTCACAACGACCATATAGTTTGACCTTGACTTTACAAGCTTTAATAATTTTGTGAAACTGCTTTACCAGAATCTGCATGACAAGCACAACAGAAACCCATGCCAGAAAAGTCCTCATATGGCCATCGACAGGTGACGCAAACATATTCATTACAAATAGCACACAGCATTAATTTATTCTGTGGTATTTTTTTGGTGGAGTGCAATGAACTGCACAACAATAATGCTTTGTTTATCGAAAATGATGTTGTGTAAATATCATTAATGTGAAAAGGAACTCTATTAGTTTGTCAGTTTGGCTGAACTATCTCTTTAACAGCAAGAGTTTCAGAATCTTCTAAATCAATTTGCTTTAAGCTCAGCAAACATTGATTGCCCCTTGACTGATCATTTGCTTAGATGAATGAATGAATGAATGAATGAATGAATGAATGAATGAATGAATTAATGAATGAATGATATTACAGTACAGTCTGGGTTGTAGAATCCTCTTCATAGCTCAACACAGTGGTAAAAAGCCAATGGTCTCACCTGCTGCTTTAGCTGCTTTGTATGGAGACGAGCCAGCGCCTGTGGACAGCAGAGAGAGATACAGACTGGAGTTTATGTGACAGATTTGACTAAATGTGCCAAATAACAAGTATTTTATTTGAACAAGTTGTTTATTCAGCTTTCAGATGATGTACACATCCCAGTTTCAGAAAGAGGACACTTCTGTGATGCTTGGTCAGATATTGCTCAGATGATGCTGATGGTGGTCATACCGGGGTAAAGTCCAGCTCCTGGCAGAACTCCAGCACCTCCTGGTCCTGCTCCTCCTCCTCCAGCCTGTGGCACATACACTCCTGAAACACACAAATAAGGATTCAGAAACCATGTTCTGCCTAAAGAGAGCGCTAAAAGTGTTCACTCGGGCAGTGTGCTGACATAAAGCCTCATAGAGCGTCAGGTGTCCCCAGTTCAAGTCAAGACTCACGGACATTTACTGATCTCTCCATATAGGCAGACGGCTTTACTCTGCTCTGATTGGTCAGATGGCCCTGCTTTGCTCTGATTGGTCAGTTGGCTTTACTCTGCTTTGATTGGTCAGATGGAACAGTGTACTTTAATTGGTCATATTACTTTACTCTGCTTTGACTAATCTGATGGCCTCATCTGCTGTGAAGCTCGGATGATCTTACCTTGCTCTGTATTCAGATTGTTATACTCTATTAACTAATGTGCCTATGCTCTCATCAACAATCATCAATCAACCAATCAGAAGCCTACAATAAATAGCCCACTTCACTTTCTTCCCATATCTTCACCCCATCCACCCCATCTCCCCCTTTCCTCCTTTACCAGGGGGAGCTTTCGAGACCTACCTGATCTCGACCCTCTTACATGCTCACTGACCAGGCGGGAGCCACGGGCTCAGTTATCTAATCTCAGGGCTCTCTCCCAGGACACCATGCCAAACTCTTAAAAAGGATTTAAATGCCAAATTAGTTTTCAAAGGCATCAACAAAACAAATATATTGTTATATCAGCAGTGATATGATACAAGCCTACGTATCTGAGTACCATAGTATGTCCAATAGTGTAAGGACAGACTGAATCTGCTGTACTCAGGGATGGTCCTGTTTGCAGTAAAGCAGGCACTGATCTCAGGCCAGTGTAGCCGTGGGTGGGCAGAGCGCCGTACAGCTACTAACAGCTCACCAGGAGGTCTTCCTAGCACAGCCATCAATTATAAAGTTAGATTTTGCAGCGAGACACAGTTTGCATCCCAAAACTGAGATTGAGAATGTTAACAGACCCTCCAGTGGCATGTGCTTTAATGGCTTCTGCATGCTTCTCGAAGGCTATTTAATCAAGCCCACATGCTCCTGCCTCTGTTGTGTTTATTAGCAGCATGGCAGCAGGCACGGCCTTTTATTATGGAGTTGCACGCAGACGTCTCATTATTCAGTTAAGGATTATACCTGTTTTATTTTCCCCCTCAAGGCCGCTGCTGTCATGTGAAGGAGAGAATCACACATGGGAGGAATCACTGAGCGTCGGTCCTTCAGCTGCTGAGATTACAGCTACAAAACATGCTGGGAATCACCCCGCCATTGACTTGCAGATCTGAGGAGAGCTTACATACATGTAACCTCTCGTAAAACACATGCCAAGCAAATCTGGACACGCTCGTCAAGGACAGAGCATTAGTGAGACACTACACACTATGCACTCATCAGTGATGGGTATGTGGCTTAAAACGTCATTAGTTACATTGCAAAAAGGACTTTTCTTACATAAAGTTTGTTTTGTTTCTGGTCTCAATATCTAAAACTCTTAATTCTAGAAGCATTTTCTAGACAAGCAAAACATATACAGTTAAAACCAGAAGTGTACACACTTTTAAATGTCTGACGGTAAATAATACTAAACGTTTACTATTTTAGGTCTGCTAGGGTTACCTAAATGATTTACATTTGCTCAATGGCAGAATAATGAGAGAATTGTTTTTGAGAATGGTTTATGAATTTCTAGACAGTCAGAAGTTTGCACACATTTCCTTGGTATTGTTTAGCTTTGCTTTTAAACTGTATAACTTTGGTCAGATGTTTTGGGTCTCCTTCCACAAGCTTCTCACAATAGTTTGCAGGAGTTTTGGCTCATTCCTCCTGCAGAATTGCTGTAACTGAGTCAGATTTGTAGGCCGTCTTGCTCACACAAGCTTTTTCAACTCTGCCCACACATTCTCTATAGGATTGAGATCAGGGCTTTGTGATGGCCACTTTAAAACATTCCCTCTGTTGTCTTTAAAGCACATGTGAACTGATTTGGCAGTGTGTTTAGGGTCATGGTCTGTTTGGAAGAGCCATTTGTGGCCAAGTTGTAATGTCCTGGCTGATGTGTTGAGATGTTGCTTCAGTATTTCTCCATCATGTTCTTTCTTCATGATGCCATCTATGCTGTGAAGTGGACCAGTCCCTCCTGCAGCAGAACAGCCCCACAACATGATGCTGCCGCCCCCATACTGCACAGTTGGGATGGTGTTCTAGGCTTGTGTGCTTTCCCCTTTGTCCTCCTACTGTAACACTGCTCATTATGGCCAAACAGTTCAATCTTAGCTCCATCAGAGCACAGCACATGTCTCCAAACATCAGTCTTTTCCCAGTGTCATTCAGCTAATGGTAATCTGGCTTTGTTGTTGATTGTGGCTTGTTGATGTTCCCATGTTGTCACACAGGGAAGCAGTGTGTTTGAGCTTTTCCTTCAACACTATTCTACAGTTGTGCCTCACATTAACTTAAATGTTGTCAATCAGCCAATCAGAAACTTCTAAAACCCTGACATCATCATCTGAGCTTTATCAAAGGGAGAATAATCTGATTGTGTGTAAACTTGATTTTAAAGAAGAGTTAGAACAATTTCTCAACACACATCTCTCTCATTATGCTGCTATTAAGCAGAACAGAAACACACATGATCATCCTAACGTACCTAAAAGAGGAAAGGTTTAGTCACATTAACAGCTGACTCTGTTATACAGTGTATGCACACTTCTGCTTTCAGCTGTAGACTTGTTTTGAGAAATAATGAGTCAAAATGAAGTTTTTCCTTAAAACAAGCTAAATAATCTGCCAAATGTGTAAACAGAATAATCTTATGTCAAAAAAAAGTTATTTTGCTCACCCCATTGGCAGATTTTCCTTCATGTAAAGTGCAGAACATTGTATTTTTCAGTGTGAATGCACTGCTTTTACTGTTAAACTACAAACCGGTGTAGAATAGGGCATAAGAATATGATTTGGGACACATCTATTATCTCATAGCTGCAAAATATGATTAGGAGGAAAAGATGTTTAGTCTGAGTCCTGCTGCAGGAAAACAGCTTCAGCTTACACACTAATGCCAGAAGAGTGTTCATCTACACTCTCAGAAATAAAGGTACGGGAGCTGTCACTGGGGTGGCATCTTTTCAAAAGCTACACATTTGTACTTGAAGCGTCCATATTGGTACCTCTAATGTATATATTAGCACACACACATTTTAAGAGGAACACTTTTGTACTTTTTAGATGCTAATACGTACCCTTGAGGTATTAATATGGACCTTTTAGATACAAATTTGCACCTTTTGAAAAGGCACCGCCTCAGTGACAGCTCGCATGTTCCTTTATTTCTGAGAGTGTTCCTTTACAATACTGCAGGTTTACTTCAGTGAGAAACAGGAAGAACACTGAGGAACCGATTTCCTTCATGACACACTGCAGTGACTAACTTTATCTCATAAAAACTGACGTTATCTCTACCACATAAAACCTCTTGATGACAAATGTGTGAGAGCTGTGTGAGGTTTGTAATGAGCATGCTGGAGCCGAACTGTGCTCCCTCAATAGAGTCTGGTAATATGCTGCTATGCCACAGTATTTTTGGAAAGAGTTTTGGACAAAGACTTTTTAGAGATCACAGGAGAGACGTGTGACAGATATTATTTTGGGTTCAGAATAAATCAGATTACAGGCATAATCTAACGCTATTTGATGCATTCAGGCTTATTCACACTGGTGAAGAGTTGGACTCTCATGGCTCCAGTTTCTAAACACGTGGATTTACATGTAGCACACAGAATATTTCTTTTCTTGGTGACCTTACACATACAGCTCCACATGATTTGTCTGAGGATGTCTCTCAGCGTGCTCTGAATATGAGAGAGAGCTGATCTTATATATTTCCATGATGACGTCTCGTTTAAGACGTGACACAACACAGCTCCATTCACGGCAGCGTAGAGATCACAGCTGCTGGGTTTACAACACGTCAGATCATCTCCTTCTCCTGAGAGTGTCTGTTTAACTGGGTGAAGGACAGAGTAAACGATATAGTTCCTGAACAGTATCGGCAAACTGAATAAGAGAAGTTTATTTATAAACTCATTCAAGAGGAGCACGTGCTTATGATTGACCACAGCTGGTCCTGCATTAGCTCTCACATGACTGACCAATCAGAGAGCCAAACACACTATAAATACCCAGAGCTTCTTACATCAGTCATCTGTGTGGAGTTTGCATGTTCTCCCCATGTTGGCAGCATATGTAGAATAGCGCATAGTGCATGTGTTTGGACTGTGGGGGAAACCCACGCCAACACGGGAAGAACATGCAAACTCCACACAGAAACACCAACTGACCCAGCCGGGACTCAAACCAGTGACCTTAGTGCTGTGAGGAGAAATTTCTAACCACTGAGCCATCGTGTCACCCCATTTTCTAAATTTCTAAATAAAATGATGATGCTGTTCTTTATTATTTCGTATTCCCTCCAGACACTGAGGCTCACTGAGCTGCTGTTGTGTGTGTGGTGTAGGGTTAGTGGTGATAGTGTATAAGCTGTGCTGAAATGCACATTTCTGGCTGATTTGACAGTGTTAATGTCAGATAATGCCATGCTCTGATACGCTCAGCAATAGTCCCGCAGATCAGAAACTCCACCCTGTGAACACTCCCTTCAGCCGGACAGGAAGTGAACGCACACCTACAGTATCAGCAGCAAACACAGCACTTCCTGTCTCCGTCTGAGTGCTGAGAGCAGAGCTAATCTGCAATGTCTGAGTGCTGTGCATACACTCAGTGACCTTCAACATCTCTGAGCCCAGCATCAGTGCACACACACACACACACACACACGGTGCACTGACTGACAGCAGCTCAATGTAGGCCTGCACCATTAATCGCTCCTAAACCATAATCAAATCAAATCAAATCAAAGTTTATTTCCTAGAGCACACTTCATTACAACCTTTGGTCCACCAAGCTGCTGTACAATCGCAGTAGCAGATAAAAACAGCAATATAAGACGATAGTAACAACAG